TATTTGGTACGTGGATATGTTGGTTTGGAGATCAACTTGGCAGGGGCAGATCCAAAGATATTTTCTGACAGTCTTCCGAATTATGGCAGGGAGCTATGGCCCCTTTGTTGATCCAGCCTTCATTTTTGACGGTTTTCCAACAGAAAAAAATAGATACTCGTCAATGTAACTTGAAAATCTTCTGGCTGGAAGAGCCCGAAGATGGCCAAAATCCACCCCTGCTAAGTGAAGTGCCTTTTATCTCGCTTGATCATTTAAATTGAGTAAGTATTTGTTAGACATTTGACAGTGTCTACTTAAGCACTCGCACACAGAATAAAAATTTATTTTTTTATTATTATTTCAGAATTTTACAAACAGCATAGTATAGTTATGTCTAAGGCTGTCTTGTTACCAAGAGCTGGAGGGAAACTGATAGCCCAACACAGCAAAGATGTCAGCATCAATACGGAGGGGGTGAAGAAGCTGGCAGCCATGGTGAGGGGTTGGCTCTCGATCTTCTCTTATACCTGTGTCAAAGATATTCATATATATTTCTGTGGTTTATTCTGTGCACCATATTTTTGTACTGTCTAATTTTCTCACAGAATTGAGGTCAATATATACTCAGCGGGCCTCTGCATGAATTTAAGGTTATATGTACCCTAGGTTTGTGACGTCATGCAGTCATATCCTAGGCCCTATTCCCAAAGACATCTTCATTCTGTGAAGGTCATTCAAACTCTGGGGGGACTCTTGCTGAATGCAGTTTAGTAGATTATCACACCTCCTAGCTCTTGGCATTAAATAGAATACAGAAATGAGACAAGGTGTGTCATTCAGTTTAGCAGATTGCACTCAGCAAGAGTCCCTGCAGAAATGGATCAGACTACATTTTGACTGATGATGTCTATGGGAATGGGCTCCTAGTGTGTTGGAATCAGGATATGGAAGAGATATACCCCACATACCGTATACACACTGGATCAGCTGCAAAATTTAGTGGGAAATTTATAAGTTTTTCGTAATTGAATCTCTAGAACATACATATGTACCAAGTAATTTTTGTTATAGTTCTAATACTGTCAAATTTGATTATTTCAGCTGCTGGAAAAAGCAAAGAAGAGGGAATTCTTTATTGGCAGTTGGCGAGATCACACCCTGAATCCTAAGACATCAGATGAGAAAGCTATAAATTGGTACATTTTTGGTTTTGTTGGGCCACTGCTGAATTACAAATTTGAATCTTACTTGAAACTATATATTTAGTTATAGGCCTTTTATTTTATTAAAATAAAACATTAAAACATGAGCAAAATCCTCATTTATAATTTTCCAAATTATGAAAGCTTTTATTTGCAAACTTGAATGATGATCAGAATTATACAGATTCTTTTACTATTCTCATTAGCTATATAGCAGATTATTTACATGTACTGCTGTCCCTTAGACTGAGAGATAGATATTTTTACTTATGTAATCAGGATTGTGAACAGAAATACAAAATTTACAAAGCCAAAAAATATTTTTCTTTTTCACAACATTGTCAAGTCAGCAGTCAAGATAGAACAGGAGGGATAAGCATATACCCATATTTACAATTTCACTACCATGATCATTTCTTTGTTTTCTGCTTGTACTAGCTGCTAAAAAATCAGCTATTCAGATGTTACCAACAAATGCGGGTTAATTATAATGCAGAGAAATCCAAATAGAAACTGTGACTTTATTTATACAATATTGCATCTAATGTGTTCATTTCTTATTCATAATCATTTATTCATTTATTTATTTATTTATTTATTTATTTATTTATTTATTTATTCTACTTTTAGGATTTTCCTATGTGATACTCTCAACTTTTCTTTCTGGTCCAAGGATGAGAACAATAAATTCATGGTTCGGTATAAAGGCAAAGAATACACAGGATATTGGTCCCTATGTGCCGCCATCAACAGAGCAATAGACGTGAGTAACCAGTGATTAAGTAAGGAAAATCTGGATCCCCCTGTCTCTTCATGAAATGACGTAAACCTGAAAGTAGTTCCAGCATAAATAAGACAGCTGAGAATTATTATTTTGCATATCTCAGAGACGTTGTATACCTATTCTTTTCTTTTTAATTTTGCCCGAAGGAGCAAATTATGATTCTTAGTGTTCAAAATAATTTGAAAAAATTGACTGCATTTCACAGCTATCTGTTTAAGAGCTCATTATGCAACTGTATTACGTTTATGATAGTGCAATTAATGAATTGAGTGAATACAACTGAATCAGATAGAAATACACATGGTGCTTTTTAATTTTTAGGAAGGCACACCAATTACCGATCCCAATTACTACAGCAAAATGACCATGGACCAGTTAAAGCATGTAATGCGTTCAGACTCTGCACAACAAATGCCTCTGTTGGAGGAAAGGCTTTGTGTGGTGCATGAGGCAGGGAAGGTTTTGGTTGAAGTATGTATTGATAATGAAACACTTATAATGATATAAATTGTAGGTGGATCCAGAGGAGTGGTTGGTGTCCCTGTGATCCATTTCTTTTTTAATATACAAAATTGTTTAATCACCTCTTCCCTTCAAACTTCCAAAATTTCATAAATTAACAAACTGAAGTTCAACAACAACTATATCCTTCACATAGTTTTACTTTTAAATTAGTAATTATCAACAAGGACGGGTTGGAAGGTGAGTGCCCCCTCCCTTTCTATACTTTTCACATTGGGAATAGAAATGTTTTGCTTTAAATCATGAAAATTGATACGAGAAACATTGACGTAAATAAGATGAGCTTTTTTATTCTTGCTGATGAACAAAAATGATTATTCCTTTTCCTCAATTTAGCTGTTGTAAGTTAATTCATGCTGCAACATTTAATCGTTTTGGCTTAGAAAAGAAATGGAAAAAAAAGATAACCAAGTCTGTTACTAGTTACTAGTACCACCTGGTAGTACTCATAGTTTTAGTCCCGACCCATCTCATAGAGCTCATGAAATGTTTTTTTAGTTATGCCATACACATTTTGTAAACTATGATACAGGCAACTAGAGTCAAAAATGATGTTATCTTTTTTTTTTTTTTTTTTGGTAAATTAAAAATTTTTTCCAGAAATATAATGAATCATTTGTGACGTGTCTCAAACAAGCCAACCAGAGTGCACAAGATTTGCTGAAACTTGTAGTGAGGGACTTTTCTTCATACAGGGACGAAGTAGACTTTGAGGGACAGAAAGGTATCGATATTTGATATGTATTTTACATGCGTAAGGGCATCCTGAAACCCAACGCCCTCTTTCTTGACATCCTGGTTCTGTAAATGATGCGGTGTGTTTTTATAATAGATAGCAGTGCTATAAGAAAGGCTACAGGTACCGTGTTATATGTTTTTAATAGTAATCATCAGAATTTCATTGTATTTTTTTCCATTTGCATTTGCAATATTTTCAGTTGTGTAAGAAACTGGTACTAATAATTTAAGTTACAAGACATTTACTCTGATTTCTAATGTCTCTTTAAAATATGTGGATAATTAAAACGGAATATATATTGTCCCTAAACTTTTAAGAATCTTACTGTAATTTTTTTTTCAGTCGGCATATACAAAAGGGTTCAGATCCTAATAGCTGACATTTGGGCATGCTGTTTAGGAGAAGGATTGGGAAACTTTGACGATATAGACACAATTACCATGTTTGCTGATTACAGGTATAGTAACTGTAGATGATGTTATTGTTGCAGCATTTATTTGTTTTACGGGTTATAACCTTCAGTTTGAGTTTCAGTATGGTCAAGATGTCTTTCTTTTACCATAGTGAGTCATTTTTGTAAAATGTGCCCTCCTTTGCAGATGCTTTTAAATAATTGAATTTTGTTTTATTTATTTATTTATTATTATTATCTGAGTGGAAAGTCATAGCCAGTGTGACTTTCAATCTGAATGGTGTGTGAAACTGATGACTACTCTCTATAATAATAATCATTCCTTATTTAATACATTCATCTTCTCATTTTCCAGTTTCTCTGAATGTTGAAAAAAATTAAAAGAGTCAAAATAGCCAGCTAAATTCAAAAGTTGAGAATTTACCTTATATGTGATATGCATTTAACTTAGAGGACAGGCATTAATTTTTTTTTTTTACTTTTTATCCAGAATTCCCCAGGCTTTGGTGTACTTTGGGGTGCTGGAATACTCTGATGCATTGTGGGAAATGTTAAAGAGTGATGCTACATTCCGAAGCGGTGACAGGCTGGAAGTCGAAATCAGAGGATGTTCCATCTGGGCAACAGAGGTAATAATTAAAGGGATATCAATTCTTCGTATGAAATCTATATTAAGAGATTATTTAAAAAAAAACTTTTTTAGAAAAAAAAAAACAGGGACTAACTTTGATTGTAGTAATGAATTTATTAACCATTGGTAAGTATGGGAAAATTGTTGTTTACCCCAGGAAAATTTTTTTTTTTTTTTTTTTTTGGGGGGGGGGGGCTAAAATGAACAGTTGATATTATTTTAAGAACTTTATTGAGCACACCAAATTCCAATAACCCTGTCTGTAAAATGTGCGTTTTTTTATGGGATATGAAATGAAAAGGAAGAGAATGGCATTGCACCTTCCTTGTACTTTAAAGTATTAAAATGGGTAGCAGTAGAATGGGCAATGAGTTTTATGGGCGGAAAAAGACATTATTTAATGGTTAAATGTTGTGTGATGGCCCTATTACAAATAAAAGATGAGCAAATACCGCTTTAAAGGTGACAAGTGTAAAGTTTCTAGGATAAGAGCAGGCATGGTGGTGCATAATACAGAATAAAATATCTTAATGGTGTGTCATTATGTTTTAATCGAATACTTGAATCTCATTGTGTATGAGAATTTGGAGTCTGCACTTGAAGTAACTACGAAGGTAGCATGATGTATTTTTTAACCAGATGGAATCATCTTTTATATCTATTATTATGATTATGATCATCATATGTCTAGACTTCTCAGGTTATTTCCAATATGTTATTAGTAGTAGTACACATTTTCTGTTGTAGCTGGTAAACCAGGAGATCCAGGATTTAATGGCGGCAGATGAGGCCTGCGGGGACATCACGGTGAACTCTATTTTAATTGACCATTTTCTATGGGACTACAGGAGAGAGCATGCAGAGGAAATGAACAGCATTCCTATACATAAGATTAGGTGTATATATTACTAAGAGGGTTTACTTTAAAGATCTCTAAATAGATTAGGTCATACTGAGGGGAAATTTTGTATGGTAATCAAATACCAGTGATACTGTTTTGATACCCACACAGGTAAAGGTAAATATAACTGAGCTTTTTATAAATTTTGAGTTTAAATAGATTAATTTACACAAATTTGTGTGTACCAATTACAAGTTACAACAATGACTAGGTCTTTTCAATGGGGGGGGGGGGATTAATTATCAGTCATTTCAAACAGTCTTCCTTTATTGCTTTAAGTACATCATTGCCTTGCAGTATCACATCAGATTATAATAGGTGAGGAGAATAAAATATCAAGCAACAAGTAGGTTATTTGTAACAGCAATAATCTCAGTTGTGCAATACTCGGATATGTTATACTTATTGTATCTAAAAATGGTGACCGGTATGCATTGTATTATATGGGCAGTATAATAACAATCTTAACAAGGTACTTCGTTAAGGCAAAGTAATTAATACATTTATGTCACATTTAAAGCAATATTGGACAAGAAAATCCTATTGTCGAATGGTGCATGGTAGATGATTGTAAAAAGGAGCCATTTTCAGATCTTTGCAAATATGTACAATGTTGTCTACAATTGTCTTGGATTGAAAACTTGATTATCTGTAAACAGAGAAATATCACAAGAAAAACAACAGATCATACACAATTTGTTTAGTTTAGTCACAACTAAATTGCTAATTGTTCAGAAATATATATATTATACAGATATTCACATATGAATATTCTTCAAATTCTAAAATAGAAAAAAATCAATAAAACTTTCTAAAAATATGACAGGCTTGCTATTTTTGTAACATTTCTGGAATACTTATCAAGTTATCAGTTGCTGATATGAAATATTCTTTTAACATTTATAAAGACCACAGGCAAATTAAAAGCGCAAGAAAGGGCAGTTTAAGTACAATAATTTTACCATAGCAAATAACTCAGAACTTATATTAAGGTTCTTATCTGTTAAAAAAGCATTTTGCAAAATTTTTAAGAAAAACCTTATTATATACAATAACAAAACAAATTCTGACTAGCATTTTCTAAAAGCACTCTGTTCAATATCCATAGTACTAACATTTTCTGTATTATTAATTACCATCTTTGCTAATAATGTTTCTCTTTCAGTCTGTCATGGTTATCCTGTCTAGTTTTATAACATAATCCTTACAGACATGTTTTTCTACAATTAACTGATCCTTTGTCCTCTTAAAATGAGCCTATTTTTAATTTTTTTTTTTTTAATTTTCCAATTGTGTACATTTAAAATAAGCAGCTGCGTTCATTTCAAAAGACTAGAAGCTAATGTATATACATCACAGAAAAAAAGGCAAGAGATGAATTTTTATGTGGATCTCCAACACATTTGCTTACACGTAAAAACTTTGGGAAGTTGTCTCAGAAATGGTAAAATAAAAGCTGTGTTCTAATAATATGAAAATACATTATAAAACCAAATAAAAACCCATTGTTTAATAAATTAGGTAAAATTTATGTTGGCCTCATAAGAAAACTTTCTTTATAGAGATACATTTTTTATACTTTGTATTTGGTGTTTTTTGCATTCTGGGGCTGCAAGTTTAATAGCTGTCCATTATTTTTTGTTTCAAAATGAGATATCACAAATGTAGCTGACAACAATTTTATTCAAATTATTCATGGTTTCTTTTTCAAAATGACTTCTCTCATATATATATATATATATATATATATATATATATATATATATGTAGCTGCCACCACTATAAAATAATGATATTTTTTAAAAGTATTAGCTAACTCTTAAATATAACTACCAACAGTTATACTCAGATCTTGTTCTCTTGTTTATATTAATATCCATCTGTAAACTTTGCTCAACTGGTAGAGATATAAAGGTACGGAACTATCAAAAGCTTAATATACTTGAGGGCTAGAAATACATCCTTTATGAAGGGCCACATGCTAGTATGAATGCCCACACACCACTTGTCCAACAGTTACTGGCATATTCTCCATCTACAGTAATCATGATGATTAAATGCAAAATTAACAAATTCCTGGTAGAACCTACCTCAATGAAAAGGACTTCTTTATTTTCTTTTCAAAGTTCAGTGTCTTGCTATATTTCCAAATCTAACAACACTGTCTTATTCATCTCCAAGGAGAAAAAAATCTTACGTGATGTTATATCTAAGAGAAGCTAGAAACCAGCAAATCATTCAAACTTCCTCCGTCAACAACTTTACTGGTTTCCCTGGCAACAATACCCTCCTGTTGCAGTCTCTTGAGCATTGGTCTGTACATGCTCACATTTAGAGGACGGAGCATACCCTTCTGTTGGATTTCACCTGAAACAAAATAAAAAGTGAATAATATATAGCATCATTTTTCATACATGAGACCATATGTTATGTTTTATTCTGAGTGTAATGTATTTAACTTGAAGAAAATGATTGCATACTGTGTTTTCAAAGTAAAATCTATTTGTATGTGTTCACAGATTGTATTTAACTGATGTAAAATCATTGTACATTTCAAGCAATGTTGAGTCTGTTCACACAAAACTAAGTTGAGTGAATGCACTCCTTGATTGCACCAGACATATTTGGAAGCTTTACACTTTTAAATGAATAATCTTTCAATCTGTTAAGAATTATGTCTGCTACTGTGATTATACCATCTAGTATCATCCTAGCAGCAATTCCAGTTGGTAGGCCAACTGTCTTGGCCATTGCTGTGTAACCCTCCGGATCTCCATACACAACCAGGTCTATTTGCTTGACTTCCTTGGTAAGATCTGGCCATTCTATTCCAACATCATGTCGCATTATGATGACATCTCTTTCTCCTCGTTCTGAAATGTAGTTAGTATTATTCTGTATTGTCCTAGTTGTCAAATTGATCGACACTTGTTATCACTTTCAAGGACTAGGACATTAAAATTCATAACAATATCTTGTTTCATTTGGCACATTTCTCACNCTTTGCTGCCTTGTTATATATTCCAGTTACTAGTACCACCTGGCAGTACTCATAGTTTTAGTCCCGACCCATCTCATAGAGTTTGTAAAGTGGTTTTTTAGTTATGCCATACACATTTTGTAAATGATAATACAGGCACCTAGAGTCAAAAATGATGTTATCTAATCTGCCATTTTTTTCCTTTTTTTTTTTTGGTAAATTAAACATTTTTTCCAGAAATATAATGGATCATTTGTGACGTGTCTCAAACAAGCCAACCAGAGTGCACAAGAGTTGCTGAAACTTGTAGTGAGGGACTTTTCTTCATACAGGGACGAAGTAGAATTTGAAGGACAGAAAGGTATCAATAATTGATATGTATTTCACATGCGTAGGGGCATCCTGAAACCCTACCCCCTCTTTCTTGACATCCTCTTTCTGTAAATGATGTGGTGTGTTTTTATAATAGATAACAGTGCTATAATAAAGGCTACAGGTAGCGTTTTATATGTTTATAATAGTAATCCTCAGAATTTCATCATCATCACTGTCATCATCGTAATAATGTTTGGTATATGTCATGAATCAGTTCTTTGTGGAAGATGGATACAGTACAGGCACTTACTGTTGACTTAACAACAAGTACATTTTAATTTTAAAAATATATTTGTTAAAATGCTAAATATGTCAAATAATTGCCTTTGTTCAAATTGTCTAATTAAAAGAAATGCCCCCAGAATTTTCATTTTTATTATTTATTTATTTTGTTTTGTTATGTATTTTTTTCCCATTTGCATTTGCAATATTTTCAGTTGTGTAAGAGTAATTTGTGCTAATAATTTAAGTTACAAGACATTTACTCTGATTTCTAATGTCTCTTTAAAATATGTGGATAATTAAAACGGAATATATATTGTCCCTGAACTTTTAAGAATCTTACTGTAATTTTTTTTCAGTCGGCATATACAAAAGGGTTCAGATCCTAATAGCTGATATTTGGGCATGCTGTTTAGGGGAAGGATTGGGAAAGTTTGATGATATAGACACAGTTACCATGTTTGCTGATTACAGGTATAGTAACTGTAGATGATGCTGTTATTGTTGCAGCATTTATTTGTTTTACAGGTTATAACCTTCAGTTTTAGTTTCAGTATGGTCAAGATGTCTTTCTTTTACCATAGTGAGTCATTTTTGTAAAATGTGCCCTCCTTTGCAGATGCTTCTATATAATTGAATTTTGTTTTATTTATTTATTTATTTATTATTATTATCTGAGTGGAAAGTCATAGCCAGTGTGACTTTCAATCTGAATGGTGTGTGAAACTGATGGCTACTCTCTATAATAATAATCATTCCTTATTTAATACATTTGTCTTCTCATTTTTCAGTTTCTCTGAATGTTGAAAAAAATTAAAAGAGTCAAAATGGCCAGCTAAATTCAAAAGTTGAGAATTTACCTTATATGTAATATGCATATAACTTAGAGGACAGGCATTAATTTTTTTTTTTACTTTTTATCCAGAATTCCCCAGGCTTTGGTGTACTTTGGGGTGCTGGAATACTCTGATGCATTGTGGGAAATGTTAAAGAGTGATGCTACATTCCGAAGCGGTGACAGGCTGGAAGTCGAAATCAGAGGATGTTCCATCTGGGCAACAGAGGTAATAATTAAAGGGATATCAATTCTTCGTATGAAATCTATATTTCACAATAAATACATTGTAAACAACTCATAGAAATATAATATATTCTATTTTCGTACCACAAAAATGGCATTTATAGCAATTATTCTGAGATCTGTGCTTGCCATCCAACCATGTGACCTACATAGATGGCTTCCTCTGTAATAATTTCTTAAGAGATTATTTTAAAAAAAACTTTAAAAAAAAACAAAAAAAAACAGGGACTAACTTTGATTGTAGTAATGAATTTATTAACCATTGGTAAGTATGGGAAAATTGTTGTTTACCCCAGGAAAAAAAAAAATTTTTTTTTTTTTGGGGGGGGGGGGGGGGGAGGCTAAAATGAACAGTTGATATTCTTTTAAGATCTTGATTGAGCACACCAAATTCCAATAACCCTGCCTGTAAAACTTGCGTTTTTTATGGGATATGAAATGAAAAGGAAGCAATAGCAGTGCACATCCATTGTACTTTTAAGTATTAAAATGGGTAGTAGTATATAGAATTGGCAATGAGTTTTATGGGGGTGAAAAGACATTATTTAATGGGGAAATGTTGTGTGATGACCCTATTACAGATAAAAGATGAGCAAATACTGCTTTAAAGGTGACAACTGTAAAGTGGATAAGAGCAGGCATGGTGGTGCATAATAGAGAATGTAGTATCTTAATGGTGTGTCATTATGTTTTAATCGAATACTTGAATCTCATTGTGTATGAGAATTTGGAGTCTGCACTTGAAGTAACTACGAAGGTAGCATGATGTATTTTTTTACCAGATGGGATCATCTTTTATATCTATTATTATGATTATGATCATCATTTGTCTAGACTTCTCAGGTTACTTCCAATATGTTATTAGTAGTAGTACACATTTTCTGTTGTAGCTGGTAAACCAGGAGATCCAGGATTTAATGGCGGCAGATGAGGCCTGCGGGGACATCACGGTGAACTCTATTTTAATTGACCATTTTCTATGGGACTACAGGAGAGAGCATGCAGAGGAAATGAACAGCATTGCTATACATAAGATTAGGTGTATATATTACTAAGAGGGTTTACTTTAAAGATCTCTAAATAGATTAGGTCATACTGAGGGGAAATTTTGTATGGTAATCAAATACCAGTGATACTGTTTTGATACCCACACAGGTAAAGGTAAATATAACTGAGCTTTTTATAAATTTGGAGTTTAAATAGATTAATTTACACAAATTTGTGTGTACCAATTACAAGTTACAACAATGACTGGGTCTTTTCAATGGGGGGGGGGGGGGGGATTAATTATCAGTCTTTCAGAAACATTATTTTGGAGTCATCAAAATTTATAACCTTTATAGCATTTTTGCTGCTTTCACTGTAGAAAATATAAAATTTGGGTAGCCGGTTTACAATTTTGTTGCTAGAATATAAAATTCTGACTCATTTCAAACAGTCTTCCTTTATTGCTTTAAGTACATCATTGCCTTGCAGTATCACATCAGATTATAATAGGTGACGAGAATAAAATATCAAGCAACAAGTAGGTTAATTGTAACAGCAATAATCTCAGTTGTGCAATACTTGGATATGTTATACTTATTGTATCTAAAAATGGTGACCGGTATGCATTGTATTATATGGGCAGTATAATAACAATCTTAACAAGGTACTTCGTTAAGGCAAAGTAATTAATACATTTATGTCACATTTAAAGCAATATCGGACAAGAATATCCTATTGTCTAATGGTGCATGGTAAATGATTGTAAAAAGGAGCCATTTTCAGATCTTTGCAAATATGTACAATGTTGTCTACAATTGTCTTGGATTGAAAACTTGATTTAATATCTGTAAACAGAGAAATATCACAAGAAAAACAACAGATCATACACAATTTGTTTAGTCACAACTAAATTGCTAATTGTTCAGAAATATATATATTATACAGATATTCACATATGAATATTCTTCATATTCTAAAAAAGAAAAAAAAATCAATAAATCTTTCTAAAAATATGACAGGCTTGCTATTTTTGTAACATTTCTGGAATACTTATCAAGTTATCAGTTATTGACATAAAATATTTATTAGAAGTTGTTACTTATCTGCTCAACATTTATAAAGACCACAGGCAAATTAAAAGTGCAAAAAAGGGCAGTTTAAGTACAATAATTTTACCATTGCAAATAACTCAAAACTTTTATTAAGGTTCTAATCTGTTAAAAAAAGTATTTTGCAATATTTTTAAGAAAAACCTTACACAATAATAAAACCAACTCTGACTAGCATTTTCTAAAAGCACTCTGGTCAATATCCATAATACTAACATTTTCTGTAATATGTTTATTACCTTATATGCTTACAACAATATTTTTACAGTCTGTCATGGTACTTTTCTAAAAATGGTAATCTTATTTGGCTTTTGGAACATATCCTTACAGACATGTTATTCTACAATAAACTTTACTTATCCTTTGTTCTCTTAAAACAAGCCTATTTTTTAAATTCTTATTTTCTAATTGTGTTCATTTAAAATAAGCAGCTGTGTTTTCGAGAGACTAGAAGCTAATGTATATAAATCATAGAAAAAAGGCAAGAGATGAATTTTTATGTGGATCTCCAACACATTTGCTAACACATGTAAAAACTTTGGGAAGTTGTCTCAGAAATGGTAAAATAAAAAGTTGTGTTCTAATAATAAGAACATACATTTTTAAACCAAATAAAAACCCATTGTTTAATAAATAAAGTAAAATTTACATTGGCCTCATAAATCTTTGTTTATAGAGATACAATTTTTTATACTTTGTATTTAGTAACATTTTGTGTTTCTTGCATTCTGGGGTTGCTGGACAAAATACTAAAATAAGCAAACTTAATAGCTTTCCATTATTTTTGTTCCAAAATGAGATATTACAAATGAACCTGCCAACAATTTCATTCAAATTCTTTATGATTTCTTTTTCAAATGATTTCTCTCATAAATGTAGCTGCCACCACCATAAAATAATGATATTTTTTTAAATATAAAGCTAACTCTTAAATGTAACTACCAACAGGTTTACTCAGATCTTGTTCTCTTGTTATATTAATATCCATGTGTAAACTTTGCTCAACTGGTAGAGATATAAAGGTGTGAAACTTGCAAAAGCTAAATATACTTGAGGGCTAGAAATACATCTCAACATCTTCTCCATTTATAGTTATCATGAATTAATGATTAAAGACAAAATAAACAAATTGCTGGTAGAACCTAACTCTACAAAATGGTCTTCTATATTCTCCTTTCAAAGTTCAATGTCTTGCTACATTTCCAAACCCAAAAAACTGTCTTATTCATCTCCAAGGAGAAGAATCTTAAATGATGTCATATCTAAGAGAAGCTAGAAGCCAGCAGATCATTCATACTTCCTCCGTCGACAACTTTACTGGTTTCCCTGGCAACAATACCTTCCTGTTGCAGTCTCTTGAGCATTGGTCTGTACATGCTCACGTTTAGGGGACGGAGCATTCCCTTCTGTTGGATTTCACCTGAAACAGAATAAGTAGTAAATAATAGCATCATCTTTCATATACAAGATCATGTGTAAAATTTTATTCTGAGTGTAACATATATAACTTGAAGAAAATGAGTGCATACTGAGTTTTCAAAGTAAAATTTATTTGTTTGTGTTCACAGATTGTATTTAACTGGTGCAAAATCATTGTACATTTTAAGCAATGTTGAGTATGTTCACACACAGAACTAAGTTGAACTGTGTGAATGCACTCCTTGCTTGCACCAGACACATTTGGAAGCTTTAGGCATTTGAATGAATAATCTTTCAATCTGTTTAGAATTATGTTTGCTACTGTGATTATACCATCTAGTATCATCCTAGCAGCAATTCCAGTTGGTAGGCCGACTGTCTTGGCCATTGCTGTGTAACCCTCCGGATCTCCATACACAACCAGGTCTATTTGCTTGACTTCCTTGGTAAGATCTGGCCATTCTATTCCAACATCATGTCGCATTATGATGACATCTCTTTCTCCTCGTTCTGAAATGTAGTTAGTATTATTCTGTATTGTCCTAGTTGTCAAATTGATCGACACTTGTTATCACTTTCAAGGACTAAGACATTAAAATTCATAACAATATCTTGTTTCATTTGGCACATTTCTCCCATCAGACTTAAACAGTGCCATCAACATTTTTCAGCCTAAAATCAATCATAGTACTCCTAGATTCGTGGAGAAACACAACATGCATTAAAGGTTTTAGCCTCTCCAGCCATAGACATTTTATAGCAATGATTCTACTGATACTTGTATGCTGTTACTTTATTTAATACACCTAACTAACAACATAATAATATGATGAATTTTACTTGGATCCCTACCAAATTTCAACCTTTGAGCCAGGTAGTGGGAAAGTGTGTCCAATGGAGTGTTCTTCTTATCGATAACTTCATCTTCTAAGAGACCCAGCCTAAAATTGACAACAATTGATCTTCTAAATACCAAACTTCATGGAAAGAGTAGAGAACCTGCTATGTAGAAAATGTATGTGTTAAAAGTTGTGTTAAAAGTTGGATCATCTAAAAAAAGTTTAACATTTCTAATTGGGGACAGGGTGCTTATGTTACTGAGGCTTAATGATTAAAAAGATGGCATTCAATAAAACTATAAAATGTGGTAAATATCTGTACATAGAGAAAACATATAATGACAAAGACGCTGATGAAGATGCTGATACTCTAAAACACTCACTCTTGTATGGCCTGAAGTCTTGCCTCACTTCCTCCTGTCTTCTGTAGGATCAAACTGTGCAAACTGTCCAGTAGAATGTCATGTGGTTTACCACACAGCTCACACATCAGATGTCTCTATAGAAACATATTGGTAGAAACATTGTATAAAACTGCTAGAAGCACTAATACTACATTTGCAATTGCATTTCATAAATTATCAGCAATATGCACCTGAAAATATTCTATTGTTTTAGTTATAAAACATTTAATGCATGACTATTAGCTAAAAGTTAAAACAGGCTTCCTTATTTTTTATAGTATTAACAAATTAATACATCTGGGTAAGACTGAGTCAATTATTGAAAACAAAGTCACTGTCGAGTTTTTTTTTAACAAACCTGACACAATAAGAATCTGGTGTTGGATAAAAGAGAGACACAACAAATTTGACCCATACACTACCCTCTACCAGGATCACAGAGAATTTTTCACTATGAATTTACAGATATTTCTGTGGCTATTTCTCTGCATTTTTCAGTATCTGTTACTGTGAAAAAGGAAAAAAACAAGCTGGTTTCTAGTAGAGAGTACACAAACTTACCCAAGTGATTTCTGGTCCTAGGGGGTGGAGACTTGGATGAGGAGTGGTGTCAATCAATCCAATTTGGACCAATCCTGCAGCAGCATTACTGAAACCCTATACAATATGAGGGACACAGAAATAATCCGACTGAGAACATACATTTCAAACACAAAACTTGAACCATCACATATACTTACAGATACTATGAGGTTTATATTCAATGCAGAACTCTAAAAAGCTAGAAAAAAACAGCTAAATAGCAATAGAAGTTGTCACAATAACATTAAACTATGAAATATAACAGTAATGTGTTTAAATTATTTTCGGTTTTTATGATGAGTTTTCGAAAACACTCTGACACAATGACTGGTTCGCGGACATCCCTCACCGTGTATCGCACAGTTCCACGCAGTATTGTCCTCAGAGAATCTAGTCCATAGATACCCTTGTAAGCAATGGAATCCCTGTTAGGGAAACCTTCCAAATTAAAGCCAGGCAGGAAAGAGAGGGGCATGGCAGCCTGCAACAATTCTCCTCCTGGCTGGATTTCTACTGTCTAGGAGACAGAAAAAAATTCAATTAGTCAACAACCTAAAATTGCTTTTACTTGTTAGAAAAAGAAAAATACTTTATATGACAAAGTTTTAAAACTTCCTACAGTACGCCAGTAAATAGTTCTATGTAGATTAATTTGGGCAAGACAGTATGCACATGATCTATAAAATGACAGAATCAACAAAGTCCATCTGTATCAATAAGATAAAGATTTCAATCAAAGCTTGTTGCTTTTTTTTAACTGAAAGAATTTTTAAAAAGTGATAAATGTTTAAAACATGTTTTTCTGTGCCTACCTTTCCATTCAGCAGGTATTTGGCCTCGCTGATGGTGTTCAGGAGGACCCCACGGGGACTCCAGCTGAACCTGTACCTCAGGGGATTGGCAGATAACTCTGGGGCAGGAAGGCCTCCACACCAGGAGACAAATGATGCGACCTTACAAATTATAAGATGAAATTCAATAAAAAAAATGTACCAAACACATAAGAAAATTTACACCATAATTACTCTATTTGTGGATAACTTTCTGAAGCATAGATTTTATAATACAAACTAAGCTGGCAATATTGCTACCTACACAAATAAACATAAAGCAAATTGTGTTTTTATAAAAACAGATGAAAAATAAACATGGAAACTGGTCTTCCATATGATCTTATTATAAACAAAAACTCCATCCTCTCCCACTTTATAGAGTTTTCAAAGGAGCCTTAATTTCTTCCCAGTAAAGTAAAATGGAGAGAGATATGTATCCACTTTTGAAGCCTTAAAAATATCATAATTATTACCTTTCCTCCCTTTTCTGTAACATTATCAAAGCACTCCATGGCCAGCATGTGGTCAATGCCAGGGTCCACTCCAACCTCGTTGACCACTGTGATACCTGCATCCACAGCACTGGAAACATGCGAAATAGTGAATCGGGTCAGCTGTCTGAATTTTCTCAGGCACACAGTCAGGGGGAGAAAAGTGACAAAAATGGTGAAAAGTGGCTAAGGGGAAGAAAAGTGACTATAGGAGGCGTAAAGTGATGAGGAACAATCCTCTAAGCCGGGAGGGGTAGGGATGACCACATCAAATTCCATTTATGTTGTAAGCATGCAGGGATCCAAAGAGCCTGTCTTTCGTATAATCACAACAGTGTTATATTCTTTCTCTCTCTCTCTCTCTCTCTCAAATACAGGCACTCATTTGGATCTCCTAATCTTACCTTTGCTCCAGATCTGTCATCTCTTTACTCATGTAGCTTGCTGTCACCATGTTCTTCTTGTTCATGATGCACACTTTTGCAACTTCTGGATGGTAGACATAGGGTAGCAAGCTAAAATAACATTTGGAATTTGGAATTTCTTTACATGTGTATAATTAATGGGCACTGAATGTGCATCCAAATCACTTCATTGCTTGCTTGCTAACTCAAGAAATCTTGTCAGATGTGAAATTATGTTACAGTATAATGTTTACTACCTACCTATAAGGGCAAATAGTATAATAAGAAATCCCTTAAATGACTTGCACTATTAAAAACCGGGAAACCTTTTTGAAGTGAGTTGACATAACAAATTAATACCACCAAACCTGTCACCAAAAATATCACCAAAAATTGCCACCAAAAAGTTATAAAGAACATATAATCTTAGGAAATACCAAATGGTACTGTTTCATATTTCTGAAAAGATGACATCTGAATAGATATTTCCGAGATATAATCTACACTTGCTCTACATGTAACTTAATTGAATTAAATAAAAATAAGACTAGTGCCTAAATGTCTTAGTATATCTGTGTACCTAATCACCAAGTCATGGCTGGACACTAGTTTCTCAAGCTCTTCTTTGTGGTTCATGACATCGCACAGTACTGGGTGAGAATTCTTGAACTTGCTAGCCAAGGCATCCACCTCACTGCGCAGGTGAGAGACTGAAATGAAGCAAAGAATATGCACTATCAAGCAGAATACAATTTTATTTTTAGACATTTAAACATTGCTAGCACGACCCAAAATCAATCATTTTTACAAGTAACATATAACACATCCTACCAGTACTTTTATACATTAACAAAAACATAGCTCTTTTGAATTTGTGCACAACAATGCTTTCAAAACTTCTTTGGCTAACTACCATCAAGTTTACTGTCCCATTTGTTATCAAATGACCATATTATGTACATGTTTTCAATGTTACTTTGTATGTTTTCAGTGATCTAAAATTAAACACTTACCAACAGTGACTTCCACTTTGGGGTCCCTGGTTAAGTAATCCACCACAGGGGCAGAGACGTAGCCAGCGCCAAGGCAAAGCACCTTTTTATTCCCCATCTTTTTTGCGGAGGAAACTTTGTGAGCAGATCTAAAATGAGGATTGGACAGAATTAAAACTAAATTTAAGCACATCTAAAACAAAGATCAGACATTATGAAAACTAAAAATTTAATCAACTGTCCTAGATGAGCCAAAAAAATATTTTTTTCGAAACATTCCATTTTGTTATTTGTGTAAAACATTTAAATAATTCAAAATAATTATTATAAATAAGAAGCAAATATTATCAAATTTATCATTTATTGTCTTTAGTGTTAGGTATAAATAAAGTCCCATCTTTCTTTTATATGCTAAGGCATACATATTTGAACTGGTCTCAATAATCTCATGTTAACGTACGTTTACTGGGCATTTTGCTCACCTTGATACTTCCCTCAGTTTAGCAATATATTCGAACTTTGGAGTAAGCTTTCCATTGGAAGTGATCACAGCCTACAAGGGCAAAAAAAAAAAAAAAAAAAAATACAATTTTAAAATTTTAATTTACAAATCATTGACTTAAATAAACTATCATTTAATTCACAATTTCTTATCAAATACCATGATTATGTGCTTGAAAATTAAATTACATTTGACGAATACTTACATCTCTAACTACAGGTGTCACTTTGTATTCCTCAAAAGGAGTTGTTGCATTGGAACTGAGCTGAAAATATCAGAAAATTTATCAAAATTAAAGGCTCATAATTTTACAAATTTTCACATATCCAGTCAACAGTAATAGGAAAGTAGGCCTAACTTGTACAATATTATACTGCAATTACTCAAATAATGTACATAATCCATCTGATTTTGATCTCTGGGTATCTGTTGTTAAAAGTTTAAATAAATAAAAGTTTCTATCCAGCTTACCATATCATGAATGTAGGGAAACAACAGTGAACCAAAGAAATCTGTAGACTCATTTGGAATCTGTGCAGGCATGTTATCAATGGAACAAACCAAAACACCGGGACCATGGAAACTAAAATTTAAAAAATTAATAACATTTTTTAAATAATTTGAAATAACAAAAGTTTCCATATACTGGGCAGTATGCATGCACTCTTTCAAACAGGATACGGTTAAAAGGGACAAAACAGAAGAAATTTTGCATGCCACATAATACAGACTAAATGAGAAATGGAGAGGAATATATTGCACAGTTATATGAAAAGTTTGTTTTTTTTTTCCATGAAGATATCTGATGTCATTTTATCATACAAATAACATTCTTTATTTTATATATTATGGAATAATAATCTAATTTAAAAATCATTTCACACTAGCTACTTAATTATAATCTGCCAACAGCATATCAATAAAAAGTTTTATAAGAACTGAGTCAAGAATTCATTACAAAAAATCCTTACCCTATGGACGCTTGATTCATTCTATGTACAGGTTTAAATGCTCACCTTTCTCTTTCAGTATTCTGGTCTGCATCATACAGCACAAAGGGCCTGTCAATTGTCGTGCACTCACTCACAAATTCAATAGAGCCGTCCCTGTCTGCGGAAATATCACAAATTGCCAATAGATGGTGTGGCAGCTGTGGGCAACCGACAACATTTGGTAACCATGGCAACGAGGTGGGCTTGAGTAATGTCTTGGCGTCGGGAATGGTGATCAAACGAGGCTGAGTGTTGTCCCAGTAGATTCCATTGACGATAATTGAGGCATAGGGAGCAATCTAAAAGATAGTAAAAACATATATCTTCATTCCTGAACATAATATCAACATTTATAAATATAACAAAATTCATTTCACCACATCAGGATACACTGTGTGATATGAGGAATCAAATAAAGTTACATTCAATTATAAATTTAACAGCGACATTTACAAGTTAATGTTTATGCAACTTTACCAGTCTGCCATGTAGAAATTGGCCCCACGTCAAAGGACAGAAAAACTAAAGTTGTGCCAGTAAAAATTTTGTTCAATTATGCACTTTTTTTCTGCCTTGGGTCAGTTGATTATGACACCCTAGCATATAAATAAGTCAAAGAATTAATTCTACCTTTTTTGCAAAATTGGATCCATATCTTTCAGGATGTTTGAGGAATTCCTCCATGTCAAATTTCCCACCTTCTTTCCTGACCAGATGGTCCCACATATTGACTTCACAACCATACACCTTATTTGTGGCTGAAAGCGAAACCCAATTATGCTAATCAATTTTTCTGTAAAAAATAATTGTCCCCTTTTAACTTGTTTATTAAGCACCTGTACATGCACAGAAGACAAGTAACTGCATGCTTAAGTCATCTATTACATTATGAACAATAGAAAATCACATATGAAAATAGTTTGGATCAACTTCCAAAATGAACAACAGATAAACATGACAAAATCTTGTATCAAATGTCAAAAATGGAGAACAGAAAAAAAAATGAAAAAAGTTTTATTCAAATATTGAAAATAAGCAGAATGTTTGTGAATAAGCAAAGTTGTTGATACTGACCTCCATGTTTAGCTACCTTTGGCAGAGCCTCAGGGGAGACGTATTCATGGGGCAGCTCTCTGAAGACTTCCTGCGCGCCCTGGTGAGTAAAATAACATGCACAATGACAATCTTATATACCTTCACCTTTCCAGGTTCATGTATGAACAACAAAGTTAAATTATGAAAACTCTAGATAAAAGTTGCAAAAGTTTTGTAAGCTTTTCTATTGCAGTCTTGTTTACAGTGACAGGTTGGTAAAGAGCTCTGACTTATAACTTTTCTTATTTAACACTCATGTATAGTTGACATGTGCACCAAGTTAACTGAAAACACAGTCACTTCATATCAAGCAGGGGCGGATCCAGAGATATTTTCTGACAGGCTTCCAAATTGTCTTCATTGATCAACCCTCAATTTTTGACCGTCTTCCGACAAAAAAATTAGATACCCGTTCATGTAAACTTGAAAATCTGACCGTCTTCCGGAAGACCCAAAAGACGGCCTAAATCCGCCCCTGTCAAGTATGGCCTATTGATATTCTGCCTTAGGACAAAAACGTTTCGCTGTCTTTTTCTGATAAATTCTTATCTGACAGTACCTGCGAGACATTGCCAGACCCAGTGAACACAAATGTCAAAGGCCCAATGGACTTGGGCATCAGACCTAGTGCTATCTCATAGCCAGCATCCCTGATGGCTTGCCTTGCACTGCCACTGTTACGGTAGTGGTGGGGTGGGCTAATGTGCTAAAAAAAAAAAAGAAAAAGGAAAATTAAATTTGAAATAGGTTTTATTTACTTTTGACTATGTTCAATTCCACAAAACTTTTCAAAACTGTATTCTGTTATACTAATCTATGCTAGAATAATGGCCCTCAATTGGCTGCAATGTTAGAATAATGCATTTGCAATCAAATAGCTACATGAATGTGGCAAAATAGAAATCTATATATTTGTGCAATAAATTCGCAAATTTTTGGACAAAATCTGATGCAGAAATTCTACACTATAACCCTATATGCAAAACGTCTAACCTGACAGAAACATATTTGCATAATCAGAAGATATATGCAGAAAATCTACATTCTAGCCCAAAAATAAGCCAATACAAAATTTGACCCCTTTCTGCTGAAGTTACCATAAAAGGTGTGTGGTGCCCAAGGGCGAGCAGACGGAATCCCAATCCATGGAGAATGTTCAACATCCCAGCGACACCTGCATACTTGCCAAATGCAACCAAACGAAGTCCATCTTTGTTCAGCATTTTTTCATAATCAATGAGACGGATGTTCTTAAAGAATGGAAAACAAAACAACTCATCACAATTGCTTCAAAACAATAATAATTCAAGTTTCAATCATGACAGCCAATGACATGCAAATTGTTTGAATGACATTTCATGAAACCGAATCACTTGATTTAACACAGTTTTGACATAAGTTCATTGCAAATTGAGGGCAATTTATGTAATAAAACAAATTTATTTCCAATTCAATCTAATTATAACTTAAAATTAAATCATTTCAAACCTTAATTAACTTTGGTAAACAGAATCTACAGTCACTCTGACAAATTCACAACTATTTGGTTCTCTGTGACCTAAGTTTGAATACTTATTACGTGTTGTAATGAAAACCTATAGTATATATATAATACCATATACACACTTTTTCTAAGAGAGCATCCAGCAAAGGCATGTTGTCCTCTTGGGCCTTGATGGTATGGGAGAAAAAGACGTAGGTCTTGTTGGGTATCAGTTTGTCAATGGGCACCTGCTTGACTCCCAGAATTAGGTCAGCTTCTGAGATATCTTCCTGACTTATTGCCCCAGCATTTTCATATTCCTAGATGTAGGTATTTGATTGGTTATGATTTGAAGACTGAATGCAATATATTTTTAAAATCAGGCTTCAAATTTAAATGTAAGATCCTATTCATTTTAATGATGTAAAACAAAAGTGAAATAATGATAAGCATAATTAATTAGCATTATTATTATTATTATTATTACTATTATAAGTGTTATCAATTATTAGTTAATTATTATCATCATCTATCTTTCACAATCATAACAGCCATCATTGTGACTGTCATCATCACTATGGAGAAGCCCATAGAGTAACTTAATAAGTAAAACATCACTTTAATCATAAGAAATAGCGATATGACAGAGGCGCATGTACAACTTTACCTTAGTGGGGTAAGCTCTCCTGTTGGATGGTTGCAGTAACACCTTAACACCCTCTTTAGTGAGCTGCCTTACGTGAGAGGGGGCCAAAGGGGCCCTCCGTTCCCAGAGATTAACATCCTCTCGTCTTATGGCTAAACAAGAACTAGCTGACCTGACAGAAGAGATTTTCAGCCATTGTTTTTTTAGACATAAAGTTTTGAGATTCTTTCCTCCGAAAGCCTTCCACATGACCTTTATGTATAGCTGGTAGAAAAAGAAAACATGTAAACTGTCATACATAGTATATACTTGTATGTACAATATCTGATGGAAGTGAAAACCACAATTTATAATTTATAGCGATTTTATTTTTGATATAGCTTTAAAATATTTGATGGTTCACAAATATTTGATATGTACAGTGTAAACATTAAATGTAATATTTAAGCAAACACGTTAACCTTGGCATATATTAAGGGATCAATGCGTGAATTAAATAGTGATTTTATAAGTGATTTTAAAGTCAGATTTGCAATGGTACGTAATTTATCATTTAACAATAATAATATTTCCAGAACGTACTAGCTACTATATAGTCTTGTTTCAATGTTGGCGTTTCAATGTTGTTAAATCCTACCAGGCATATATGTATTGACAAAATACTTACATGCTGCCACGTAGCGGTAATATAGATCCTGTTGATAAAATATTTTTGATTAGAAAATGAATGGAAAATATTACTAATAGTAATAGCAGTAGTTTACGAAGAGCCGTGTGTACGAGTACTGCATGTAAATTAATGTGCTCTACACGCACCAAAACGATGATGCAATCACAAACCTTTATATGTATAAAAAAAGTACTAATCGAATGATTATATGATGTACACTCCCAATCTTTTTGACTATGAACCACGCAGCCTATATATCGTGCCACAAAACATCAGCAATAACAGACACGCCGAATCGAACCAATCACAACACGCGTAAATGGACACTCCTCCGTGTTGTTTACAACAAATTACGGCTGAGAAATCAATCTTGGATACAGATCACTGAAAATTTTCATCAAAATGCAATCGTCAGACGTTAACAACTATTCTTAACGTATATCATCGACCAAAGCATCGATTGAAAATTTACCCTTTTCTCTCAAAATCCGTGAACCTTTTTACCGGGTTTCTTCACCGACCAGGTCACGCTATGTCCACATTTGACCTAATTTTTATTTAGATCACGTGTGATTCTCGTTTGCTGGAAAATTGGCCGGTAGGCTGAGCCTGTGGAAGTGGCAGTTTCTGTTTGCGTTTTCTGTATGCTGTAAAGGGGGCAGTGTCACCTTGCAGCCTTTAATATCTTGTAAGTATTTAATATTACTTCATAAAGGCTTGTGTGACAATAATTATGCTTCATTGCCTCGGTTTGTCACTAATTTGTACTTCCCGGCTTCAAGCGCCATGGCAATGCTAATATGAATACAGACCCAGTACACCCGTGAAAACACAAAGATTTCCGGCTAGCATATAGGTTTCATCCAGTGTGGATGAAACCATTAACACAAAACGGTGGCTGTCTTTACGTTGTCCAGAAATGGTTTGCAAAACTACTTCATCATGTTAATGATTCTGTAGACTGTAGCAATACATGTCATATAGGATCATATAGTACATGTCATACTAAACATAATACATGTAGTAATTAGAAATAATACACTACAGATTGTTTGGTCTCTGCCATACTGGGACCATGATACCTGTACTTGTATGAGAACTTGATCACTGATGTAGTATAAAAAATTAAACAGAACTGCTTGATAGATCAGATGCTATATAAGAGTCTAAATACCTACCCCGGTATTTAGATACACATTCTAATATCCATGGTACTAACAGTAGCAGTCTGCAATCATGAAATAATGATTTCTGAGTTACATGTAACTTGTACTGGCATACAAAATTAGTGCATTTTATTGGAATATTAACTCAAAACGATAAATGTAATCATTGAACAGCAACAGTTTAATACCAAAGATATCAACAGTAAATTTAAAAATAAGTCAATATATATATATATATATATATATATATATATATATATATATATATATATATATATATATATATATATATATGGCTCTCCATGTCTGAATATTACATAAAAAGGAAATTATTAAGTCTTCCAGACTGTCTGAGGAATTGAAATTTTAGACTGTTGCATGCCTGTACTAGTATTATACACAGTGCAATAAAATATAAGGTACATGTAGGAAGGAGCCAACAGTAGATGATTCTGAACAAATGGTGTCTGCATAATCATTGATTTTCTTTTCTTTTTTTAAACAGGTTGTCTGCGGACTTGCGTATAGTTTAACATGGCAGATAAAAAAGCCAGAAAGAAAGCCAACAAAGCTGCCTCAGATAGCATAGCAGCACAATACCAGTGGGAGAAAATAACAGACATGCCAACGAAACGGGTCTTCGCAACATCCACCGTTGTTGAGGGCAATATTTATGTTATTGGTGGCTGTGACGAGACTGGGTCTCCCCTGAACAGTTTTGAAATGTACTCCCCCACAGAGAAAACCTGGAAAGTTTTGGCCCCCATGCCTACCAGCAGGGCTGGGGCAGCTACTGTACACATAGGAAAGAAGATAATAGTGTTAGGAGGAGTAAGTCAAGCCCAGGCCCCCCTTGATGAGGTCGAGTTGTATGACATAGAGGAAAGTGCTTGGAAAAAATTGGAATCTCTGCCTGAAAAGTTGCTAGGATTATCAGCTGCAGTGAGAGGTAATCAAGTATTATGTGGTGATTTTTTATTTGTTTATTTTTATTTTCAATTGTTTATTTTGTAATTTCAAACATTTTAGTGTTGTTGATATTGGGGTTACTAGTATATTTTATAAGAACTTATAAAGATGCATGTATACATTCTTCTCAGTTATATTTAAATATATGATTACAAAGAAAAAGATGTCTAGTCCCAAATGATAACAGTTCATGAAGCATATCAACCAACTTTAGTTGTTGCTTTTGTTGTGAACCATACTTTTTTTCACATTTATGCAAATGATCTGCTAACTTGGCCTAAGTGACATCACTTCCTGTCCATGTATTCCAGTTTGATTATATTGCGAGTTAAATTGGTTCCTTTTGAACCTTTGTTCTGATTTTATTTAAAAAAAAAAAACCTATTTATGTTTCAGATGGCAAGGTCCTTATAGCTGGAGGCATGGCAGCGGACACAAACCCCAAAGAATACTTTTTAAGTTTTGACATAGAAGCCAACAGGTGGCAGAGCTTGCCACCTATGCCAACGCCGCGATATGCATCATCAGGCTTCCTCAGGGATAACAAGTTTTATGTGATTGGTTAGTTCTTGCACAGTGTTTAACTGAATCAAATGTAGAAAAAATTAAGTTCCTATTTTTTCATGTCAGTAACAAAATCAGATTATAAATGAGATAACTAGAGCTGAAACTAACAAGAAATTTCCTTTTTTAAAAAAAAAGAAATAGGAAAAATTAGGAAAGGCAGTTTTTTTTTAAACTATGACTGTGGTAGTAGTAAAATACTGAAAAAAAAATTCTCTGCTGCTTCATGTGTGCAATATTGATTTATCTTTTAAAAATCTGCACCCTGATAACATTCGTCATTGGCCATGTTATTTAGGTATATTTATGTTGGTAATTAGGCCAAGAATCTGTTGATTTCTCTCCACAGCGTGTTCTTAGGCTACAAAACCTGAGGTCCTTAATTCTATTTCTCACCTTTAGGTGGGAGACAAGGTAAAGTTCCAGTGAACACATTTGAAGTGTTCGACTTCGATGAAAACAAGTGGCAGAAACTTCCCAACATTCCCAGTAAGAGGGTTTTTCCAGGCTACATTATGTCAGAAACACAGATCTTCAGTCTCGGTGGCCTCAATCAAAACCCTAAGAATGGCTTTGCAAATTGTTGTGAAATCTTTGATATAGAAAAAGGTGAGAAAGGTTGCATACTTGACTTTGTTTGTAAACAAAGAATTGCTTGTAAACATGATCGTGGCATGCTTTTTGCAGTGATATACTAGGCTTATATGTCAGAATTTGCCTATTTTGCTCATAAAGTATGTTGAGTGAATATTCACTGAATGAATTAATTCAATGTTAGAATTTATATTTAATATTTAATATTTTATTTTTATTATTATTATTTATTTATTTTTATTTATTTATTTATTATTATTATTATTATTATTTTTTTTTTTTTTTGCACATTTCTCCATTAGAAATTTTTCATTGATTTTAGAATCTGATTAATGTCATTGATGTTACATATCACACAGCCCCATCACAAATATACACACTGCCTTAGGAGGTAAAATTTTGCATTTTTAAACAAATTTCCAGGAAAAAAAAGCAAATTTTTGTGTTAACATTTCCAGGTGAGTGGACGGTGGGCACTCCTATGCCCTCCAGACGAGGGGACTTTACAACTGCCGTGTTGAATGGAAAAGTGATAGTGGCGGGGGGATTAGGTAAGTATTATAATGTATGTTAAAATGGAATCTCTGTATAGTTTCAGATTCAAGATATTTTGTTTTTTTTCCTGAAATAATAGATTGTTATTTGACATTCTCAATAAATAAGTTTTATACCTGTTTAACTATCTGTTGTTGAAAAACTTGATATAATTATGATCAAATTAAGATTATTTTTATCTGACCTACCCTCAGTTTAACTGATGTAGGCAGCTGCCATTGGTTAACTTTGCAGTGTGCCATTTAACCCTTTTGATGATATTAAAATGTATTTTTAATATGATAAAAGGCAATGAAGGGAAGCCTTTGGAGGCAGCCGAGGTGTACGATCCCGCCACCAACAACTGGACACGGTTGTCTCATGTGCCGTCCACTCACTGTTCATGTACCAGCGTGACACTAGGGGGCAGCATCTACATCATAGGTGGACTGTCCCTCAACGGCCCGAGCAGCTGTGTAGACGTACTCCATTTTAAAGAGAGAGATGTATGACTGTATGCTTCTGATTGTTTAAAAATAATGTTTAAATATGGGTATGTGTTTTTTTATAAATGGAGGACAAACCTATTTGTAGCTGTTAGTATTATTTGTTTTTGTAGAGCAGATGTTATGGTTTTGATTGAGAAAATGTATAGACTATATATGCATGTGTATTGATATTTGCCAAAAATCATTGCTCATGCTAGCATCTAAGATCTTTGATAAATACTAAAATTGTTGGACTTCTAGTCATTTTTCTCCTGTTTTTCAAGACTTTGAGTAAAATAAATCAGAACAAAAACCTACATAAAACCTTATTTCTTATTAGAAAAAACATGATTTATGCTTGCATTTTTTTCTCAGTGTAATGTGTCATTACATGTAAATCTAATGTTCAGTGTAGGTTTTAAATTAAACATTGTTCATCAGCTGGTTCATTACTTCTCAAACAAGTAGCAATCAAAATGTAATTTTCCTATCAACTAATGCAAACAGTCATTTTTTTACTATTGACTGAAAGCAACAGCTTTTTGCTGCAAAAAAACATGCCTTGATGATCATTAAATATAATACTTAAGCACAATTTATCTCTTTTTAATTTTGTAAAGTCACATGTTTAAAGCATTTTCATTTTTAAGGTAAGTAGGTTATTTTCAGCCTTTGTAACTGAAGTTTCAATTTATATAAATGTTTTTGTTTTTTTTTTTTTTCACCTTGTGAACAAAATCATGTTGCAGCTTAATTTTTAGTCAGAAATAGGCCTGTCATCAACAGAACTAAATGTCTGTGTGTATGAGTGTGGCACTGTGCTGGGGATAACAATTTTTTGAGCAATATTTGTGGAGTGATCCAAAAATTTTTGTTATAGCATTGTAGTGAAGAATGCTAGAGATTTTACTCATCCCCCTTTTTATTTATGGACCTATGGCCAATTAGAGGTCAGGAGATATTTGTTGATATGCTTATCAATTTGTTAATTTACCAAAATATCAGTCAGTATTGTTATACACTGGCATTTTAAAAATGGATTTGTAATATGGAAACAAGATGTGCCTCGGTGGCAAGTGCAGAATGTAGATATGTGGTCTGTTTATCAGACTATACAAAAGGCAAATGAGGTTATAGAACAGCATATACACAAGTCTGTACACAACTACCAGTTGCATATATACTAGTCTATACCCGCTAACCAATTACACAGTGATCATTTACAATCAGAAACCTGAAAATAATTTCATGTTATTCCATAAGATATGTATAGGGCCAGAGCTGCATATTTCAAAGCTAAATTTTCTCCACAGCACAAGCTTTATTTTAGATATTCATTTCTGCTGTTTACAGCTGAGGCAGTTAATTGAAGATGTGGTGTCTGCACTGAGGCACCTAGGATTTGCTAAAAGGTGCACAAGGGTTTTTATTGGGAGTTATCTGGGAACAGAGGGGGGTAACTCAAATGCTAAGGGATCTTTGTTATCAATAATATCATATGAGAAAGGGTGTGAAAACAAATTAAATCAATCGAAGAATTTTAATAATATCATAAGTGATGGTTTCTAGTTGCAATTTATTATTTTTTCTTGGGTGAAAGAAATAATCATACAATTTCTTGCATGACAGTTCATCAGTCTTTCGTGTAATACTAATCTTTAATAGCATTAGAAAGTTAGTTAGCATTAGCACATGAGTATTTCTCTCTGTTATTCTTTAAACTTTTTAAAAATTTGTTCTTTTCGTGGATGATATTTGCATATGTCTTCTGAGCATTCCGGTGTATAATTGTGTTGATTTGTAAAATTAGGCCTTTTCTATTTCAACACAATTAAGTCACGTACTGCAAAGATCAAAAACTCTGATGTAGAAATTCAGATGCTAAAACATGATATTATAATTATTTATAGGCTTTGATTGGAATGACATTATGTAAAATATTTCATTGGTGCTTGTGAAGTCTGTGGTATATGAAATAATACCATGTTTGTCTGAAATTGTAATAAATGTTCTCATTCAGTTCCTTGTCTTAGACTGAATTTTTGATTTTATGAAAGTGTTGCCATGATGTAATTCCAACAGTTTTTGTAGATTATTGCTACAACACCTGTGTTGACAAGATATGCATGCAACTCGCATAAAACAATTGGTGAAAAGTTAGACATTTTATCTCTGTATTCATGGTATTGAATCATAGAAGTGTCACATTGATTCTTGGCCCACCAATTGTGTCCATGCCTTCATTAAGTACACAGTCTGTAATAAAACGTGATGACAATATCAACATGTGAATGGGTGAAATAAATTTGATTGTAGGATTGGTGCAAAAATCTGCTATGATTAATCCATACTTTTTTTTTAAATAGTACCATAATAACTACATGGAATATTAAAATGGAGCACAAAGAATTGCCTTCCAGTTGTTGGTAAATTGTTACAAAAATGGTCTTTACAGGTAAAATAAAATTGTCAGAATTTTGCCCTTTTCCATCTGAGGTAAATAAATAACACAAAACCAAGATTTTTTATTATTAAATTTTTATATATTTTTTTTGCTTTAGCAACTGCTCATTTTACTTTAAACATGATACATGTTATCACACCAAACAAATAAATTTCTTTTACTTGTAACATATCTCTACTTATCAATCTGTCAGTTAAGAAGGTGCATCAGTCACACTGAAAATTGTTTGATATGTATACATAAGTAAAGCTGCATAAAAAATTAACCAATCACTTATGGTACATAGGCTATTAAATATAATTCTCAATAACAATTCTTATGAATTTAAAATCAAATGAACAAACAGAAACGACAAACATTCTTCCCAAAAATAATCAACAATCAAGGTCTGGAAAATGAACAGAAATAATATAAATTAACTAATGAAATAATCATCTGACATAAAAATTTTGCACATTCTTGCACTTTTTTTCTTATTTCTTTCATACTTGTAGATAGTTTTCTCTCTTTATATGTATCCATAAAGTATTAACTGAAATAATTACCAAACTGTACATGAAATACTAAAATGAGGAATAACACAAAACAAATACAAATCAAGATGTGCTCACCAGATTGAAATTCTGACTCTTTAATCAGGTGACTGAATAAATGGGAACAACAAACTCACAATACAAATGACAATTTTTTTTTTTTAACTTTTCCTGGACCAGCCTGGTTATCATGCTAGTTTTCATAGGGACGGATTAAAAGACATTTTGGTCTTCTTAATTGATCACTAATATAAAGGCATCATCTTACTAATGGGCAATCACAAGTCGGGCAAATAAGGCATATCACTACACAAATCACCAATGTACAACATATAAATCATAATCTAATTAAAATTATGGTGGCCTGAATTACCAAATAAGTCATGATGTCACATCATGTTCATTTATATTGATTAATAGCCATTAAATACTGATTGTATGAGTATCTCTAATTAGGAATCCATTACATCATATTCAAGTGGTCAAACAGATACTTGTATATGACTTTTTACACTGTAAGTCAAGTTTCCAGTCGGATCAGGGCAACCTATCTAGGAAGGACCCCATATCAGCAGGTCAATTTATAATCATAAGATCAATGACCTACCAATACAGAGTCATACTGACTTGGGCTGACCTCTCTTGATTGGAAACGCAACATGCCACATGTCGTATATCTATAACTACTGGCTATCTATAAGTCAATGACAAAAACAAAATGATAAAATATAGAACTCACTCCCATGAGAAACACCAGGAGTGATGCACAAACACTGTATATTATATCAAGGAATTACACATCTAATTCCTGGAATATATTCCCATTATTTTATTCAAAATAAATGAATAAAAGTTATAAACCAAGCAAACTGGAATGTTAATCTGCATGCAGTGCCTTGTGTATCAGCAGCTGACCAGTGAGATTCAGGGTCCACTAACAGGACAGTATTCAAACAGGTGCTTTCTATTTAAGGGGGGGGGGGGGGGCAACACAGGTGTGACCTAGTTTTTAATGTCCCACCCTGAGTTTCAGAGCACTGGGGGGTTCTAACCACAATAATCATGTTTTATTTAATCAAAAAACTGCTGGTAAAGAGGTCAGTCAACAATGCACTGAAACTCAGGGGGATATGTCTCCAAATTATCCAAGTTGTGCTTCAGAACACCAACAATTTCTAAGGTTCTCTGGCTAGGCATAGAAGCAATTCAACAACCCTCTGAAACTCTGAAACTGCACCTCTTTCACCCTAAATGCAGGGTCTATTTCATGCATGGCAACATAGGGCCTAATTTAAATCAAGAGGGATCCACTAAAATACTTTTTAAAATTCCATTTGTATGTTCAGTAACTGCATTCAGGTTGTTTGCATGCCATTATTAAGTTTACATCCAACTTAATCCAAGAACTAGCTTTGAGGCTGAAGAAGCTAACTACAATACAAATTAAGTGATTTAATGGTGTACCCTGATAAATAAAAACAACTAAATTATTTTACCTATTAACACACTTCAAGTAATTCTATTCTACACTTAACATAATAAATATACTAAGATCAAGTGACTCTGGAATCACTATCCCTTACATGTTAACATGCATTAAAATAATGAAATATTAGTTGATCATATTAGCAAAAATAGTGCTATAAGATAATAAGTGTTGTTTTTTTCTAAGGCAGACCCTGATATGATACAGCTAGTGCAAACAAGAATCCTACTGATTCTTGTCCTACTAACAAACAGAAATAATCCTAGAAACGCTAATGACGCTCTCATCTTCATGATTTTAATCTATGTTGTTAAAAATAAGTACACTTTATGTATTTGGATTAAGTAGTATCAAGGATGTCATGTTAGTCTGCTCATTTTTCAGATGGGGTGTGCTTGTGAGGTAAAACATACAAACTATCCTTAATTGCATACTCGTTGCCTGCCTGTGACCAAGGATTGTCCATGCCTTCATTCTGGGATACGTGTCGCTCAAACCTCTTCAATGATACAATTCAACATACTTGAAAAATACATATGAATATATTTCTATGTTGTATACATTACCCAACTGAGAGAGTGGAAGAATTTGAAATCAGCACTGCTGGGGAGGTTTTTGTGTTGTATGCAAAAATAGGGCAACTGCATACAATGGGTCCTGTCGCCACACATTTTTAGGGGCTATTTTCACAAAAGTTGGTTTGAACTATAGGATTACAAAATTGGTTTAACTTGAGCAGAAGATAAATCAATAGTATTTCACTTAAAAAGAAAATATTATGCTCATTTCACAAAAAAGAAAGAAATGTAACAATAGCTATATACTTATTTCTAGTAATTACTACAGGTTTATCATCAACTGAAGTGCACCAATTTCTGCCTCAGAGTAAAACCAGCTTCTGATTTATGCCCGTTGGTAAAAGTGAGCACTGTTTACTCGCTGAGTTGCTCTTCATCTCAGTTCAATCCAAAAGCTGACTCCTCACAGAACTTCAACTGCCATATCTTGCCAGCATAGATGTCAAAGTCGTCTTTGCCTAACAGGGCAACCAGGCGTGGCTGAAATGATGAAGGGAAGAGAAGAAATATAATGAAACAACAAAAGTCACTGTTGATAATAACATACATACACAGGTACTAAATATCTGTTGCTGGATCATAGATTTCCACTGGTAGTGATTGGATATACAAGCTGCTGCAAATCTATACAGAAATATAGGACAAAGTTCTTTATTATTTCAGTACCATTGCAGCACAGACAATTTCAAAGAAACAGCCTAAAAAGCACTTTATTGAAACAAAAAACTTTCATCATCAACACTTTCATTATAATATCATTATTTTTTCTACAATGAAATTTGTTTGTTTGTTTGTTTGTCTCATGACCAGCATCCATTTGCAAATCTTATATCATCATCTACCTCTTGTTCTTCCTCCTCATCATTGTCTAGGATCTCATACGCCTTGTGCAGCTTTTCCACTCCCAAACCCCGTACACAGTCCCTAGGAATGAGATCACATGATTCATATGAATGTTACATATTCTAAATAACATTGTAATAATTAAAGACTAAACCACTGTGCCCTAAAAATTCAGTAATCCTTTGGCAGGTTACCAAATAAATATAGTAAGATTGATTTCAATAGTATATATTTTAAACAGGATTTTAATAACTGAAGATTAATGGCTGACTAAAACACTGTGCTCCAATACATTCAGTAATCTTACAGCAGAACAGAATAAAAATAGAAATATGTTTTTATTTCTATTTCCAATATTTTAATTCTGTTCCTCACCTTCTGAGCATATTAATTCTCTCCATCAGTCTTCCTGATGAGCTTAATGTCCTGGCACCTATCCCTGGAGAGATAGAAAATCAGGTCATACGTTTCTATAGACATACATGCAGAGATTGGCCATGTTCAATATATTCATTTGCAATTTTATTATCCCTTAAAAAGAGTACTAGTACACTTGTAATTAGGCATAATGTTACCAGTAAGTTATGCATGTGAAATAGGAAAGTTCTAATTGAAAATAAGGTCCATTTCATAATAGTTTAGTAGTTTTGAACTGTATGCTGAAATTTTCCAACAGGAAAAAATCATGCTGTCTTATAACTGTATCTGTCTATTTTTGGAGTTTTTTATTTCACTGAATGCCACATGAATGTCAAAAAAGCCATTGAATCATATTTATTTTGACAAATTTATTCTCTTTGTTCATCTCAAATAACAAAATAATGTGGTTTATTAGGCCCACCTGGTGCGGATTGAACTCTGTGTAACTGCTGGCTCTTTGGTGTTTCTTTAGGTGACGCCTGCTTGATGTCATCAACATCAAACTCGTCACCTCCCTCTCTCTCCTCGCTGTCTGAGACATCTTCCTCTTTGTTCATAACTAGAGTGGTACTCAGCATAGAGATGAAGTTGTTCATTTCTCTGTCATTCCTGCAACAAATCAGAGATCTAATGTATATCAATGTTTCCTACACAACCCATACTTCTTTTCTTTCCTTTATTTCAATTATTTTGTGAAATTCATTAAAATTAAATCCTCATATCGAAATACACACACTGTCACTCTCTGTGATGATTCAAGTATGGAATATTTCCCAAAACAATCTCAAACATCCTAAAGTGACCGTGAACCAACCTCTTTATAATAACACCATGACTCTGCCTTTTTCAAAAACTGACAATATAGATATAAGCATACAAAACAGTCACAGTACAAACTTGAAGCTGTGCAATAATAACATACTTATTATTCTGTAAATAAAAGCATGCATCCCGTACATCCAGAATTCCAAAGGCAATTGAAAATTCCCATCTTAAATCAGCATTTCTCTGCCACATCCAGTGGCAGAGGTAAGATTTGGGGTAGTTTCATGCCAAAATATATACATGTATAATATTTATCAACTATATTAATTCAGGGGCGGATTCAGGCTGTCTTCTGGGTCTTCCGGAAGACGGTCAAATTTCAAAGTTTACGTTGATGAGTACCTAATTTTTCTGTCGGAAGACGGTCAAAAAATGGAGGATGGATCAACAAAAAATGGAGGATGGATCAACAAAGATAATGTGGAAGACTGTCAGAAAATATCTCTGGATCCGCCCCTGTAATTTGCCAACAAACTACAATATATTTATAATACATAGTATTATAATAATAATATGACTCCATTCTCAATGAACTGCAAGTAAATGCCAGGTGATTCCACATGCTGTGATGGGATGAAAATATACACGATATCATATGATAACCATGAGTTAGAGAGATTACTGGAAACTTGCATCCACTTTCAGCATATCTCTCCTATTCCTAGTAATGTTACAGACAGTGGATTTAAGTTTCCATTAAATTCTGTACCTCAAGGTGATCTAATTAGGTGGGTTTAGACTAGGGTGAGTTCATAAGCCTTGCTTATTGCTATTTAATGGCGGCAGCTTTGGTTTTTGTTACTTTAATAATAAAAGGCTTATACTAAAATGGAATAGGTTCCCCCAAAGCTGATAAGCATGTGTCTTTTTAAATGTACGAACTCCACTGTACCTCCTAAACCTACATACATATGTATATACATGAAATATGCATTGCTCATAACATTAGTATGACTGTTACATCCATCATGCTTACAACACATTTCCTCCATGCTGTCACCTGAATTTTTTCCATGCATGACAAGTGCCTTTTCCCCCCATTTCTATAAGTTAGTGGTGCTAAGGCATAAAGGTATGCTCCGTCATATTAATTTACCCCCTCCCCATCTTTTCTAAACATTCTCTCAATACTCTCAAGAATATTTATTCTCTTAGACATTCTGTGCAATTTTTGAGACCTAATATGTCTAGACTGTTTCTACATGAAAAAGCTATGATCACGAGCACACCTTTGGTAATGGGTATTAATCATCCTGCCAATCTGGATATTTTATTGGCAGCAATGTATATAATTTGTTAGTACTTCCTTTTAAGAGCCATTAGTTTTGTTTGTTAATCTCTGCATTTGCACTTCTATTTTTCTATTTTTTGCACAGTTTTATAACTAATAAATAATTAAATTATGTTTCTTGTCAATAGGCAATTGGAAATACATAATGTTCAAATCAACGTAAAACTAATAAAAAGTAAAATAAATTCAAGAGATAGATAAACAAAACCAATGGTCTTTTAATGCATAATGTAAATATCATAATCATATAAGGCACTGTTACCTATTTTTCTCATGTGAACGTACAACATAAGTCCTGAAGAGGAAATGAGTAAGTAAACATATGAATGTTCTTTAAAAACACATAAATATTTATGTCCGAAAATGCCCATTTTACACAAAAGTAGATTGGCAACGTAAAAGAGGATAGCACAAATGAAAAGTGTTAAGTTTCAAACAAACTCCAAAATTCAGATTGAAAAAAAAAACCTATAACAGATATTAACTAACACAGTAGAGGTAATAAACTACATTACTGGCAGCAAGAATGTCACACAATAACATTAAAATAATTCCTTTATTTTCAATTGTAGTTTGCTAATGAAGTGTGCTGAAAAGGTGAACACATAAAGTGACACTCCTTACATTATTTGAAGAAAATAGGAAAGAAATCAGGAGAAATCAATAGAGCACAAATAAATTTTAAATCTTATACCTGGTTCACAGAATTTACCCCACGCTTCAGTTCAGAGGCAAATATATGCAGGCATACAGGGGTATTTCAATACATAGGAGCTGACCCACATCAAGCCTGTGCTCTGCTAAGAGAGTTCTGTTGTCTACTTGAATTTACCAAAGACTGGACTCACCCTTTCTCTTCTCTTTCCTTTTCGTCCTCCAGAGTGGTATCTTCATCTCCATCCACATCATCTACTTCAACTTCAGACATCTGACGATGCACATGGGGCTGATGTTAACGCAACAGAGAAAGATAATAAATCTACGTAAAAATATTACATACATGACTTACGAGTTTCTTTCAAAACTGTTTCTACCTTCAAAAGTAATGAAATATCAATTTTGATGTAAAAATGACATATCAAGTATATTCATGTATATGTGGTGCATACTCAAAAGCCCTGGTCCCAGTTTCACAAAAAAACTTAAGTCATTCCCTGGCTCAGTTGACTAGGATTTCCATCAAAGTGCTGTTACACTGCTCCTGATAGGGTAAGATGTGCCCATGTTACCATGTAACCTTGGTAATTAAGTTCTTAGCCAGGGAACCTGACTTAAGTTTTTTTGTGAAAGCGATGCCTGGTTTGAGCCCAAAATAAGCTAAACCCTGCTGACATGGTTTTTTAAAATCTGCAATTTCATTATACACCTACACGGGCCTCCTTTTTCTCCTGTGCTGAATCTGCCACAGCAAGGTCCTGCTCTATGTGCCCCTCAGGCTGAGATGGCCGCCGTCGGTCTGACGCACCTGGAGGACCAGTGGGGGTGTCTAAGCCATCTTGTTTCTTTTCCCTGCGCCTGGCTCGTGCAGAGGTGTTGGGTCTTGACTGTCAATAAAGGACGAAGAGGTCTCAAATCTAAATTTTACATAGTTTCTTGCCATAAACTGTTGGTCTATAAAATCTGTGGTAAGATAACACTTAGAGATACTTTAAAAATTACATAATGTTTTGTTTTTTTTTTCGCAAAAGTTAAGAACAAATATGTTCCAGCTGTATTTTTCCCATCACATTTTTAAAGAAAACACCTCAGAATGCATTCAAAATGTGAATTTGTGCTATTCAGAGCTTAATAAAGTAAACCAACAAAGTATCTTAAAATCAGTGAATAAGCTACGTGCCTATCAACAAACTAAAGTAACTAACCCTTGGAGTGTCATCTCCTGTTGGAGTGTCATAACTTGAGCTTGTGACACTTGATGATGACGTGGAGACTTCAACAGATTGTCTGTTTTTCTTCTGGTTCTTCTGAGGTATTCCACCACTTGCTGGTGGGGGTGGTAATGGGCGTGGTTTTTCAACAGGAATTGGCTGAAAAGAAAGAGAGGGAGCAAGTATATGTACAATTATACTGTTCATGTAGCTTTGGTGAGAAGATGTTTTAAATCATTTATGTTTTTTCTTGAATGTCAGGTGGAAAGTCAAATAAATGCCAAAAATGCAGGTTTCTATTTTGATATAAAAAGGCTCTACTCCCAAATAAAACTAAAAAACAAAGACTACCCATTTTTTTTAGATATGTTCATAATAAACTTAATTAAACTACTCTTAAACAAAATATTAAGTCTTAGATTTATGCATAATGAAAAGTGTCATATCTCACATTTTCAAATATTTCCTTCTTTGTTGGCTTATCTTCATCAAAAACATTATCATCAACATCCCCTTTCTGTTTCTTCTTTTTTGAGGATTTCCTTTGACCTGTTTCCTTTCATGAGAAAAAAGTAAATTTATTTTACATTTTTCCTACTTAAATGAATATCAAAATGAAAACTAACCTTTATTTTTCCATTACTAGAAACAACAAAGGCCAGGTTCCAGTGAACTTAGAAACTCTGAATATCTTGTATCAAAATATTTTAAGTGATTAATGTGCGTGTGTGTTTCTAGTTATGAAACAATCTTTTCTACTGCCAGCATGAAAATGGGGTAAATCAATTAATGCAATGGCAATCTGGAATCTAACACTCCTGACATACCCAGATAATATTATATACCTTTTGTTCCTCATCCACCGAGCTGTGCACAGAACTACTTGTTGTCACTTGAACGCCATCACCTTGGTCATTGCGTTTACCGGAGCCAGGACGACGGCCAGCTGAATTTGGACGATTGCCTGAACTTGGACGATTGCCAGAACTTGGACGGTTCCCAGAACTTGAGCGTTGAGCAGTTGACGGACGGCTGCCACTTGTGCTTGGACGGCGGCTGAATACATGGGTAGATAAATTTAACTAATCAATATAAATACATACTGTATATCTTCATATTAATGACTCATGCTTAACATTGGTTATATGAAGAAATTCTGCATATTACTTAAATCCAATAAAAATATAAAAGAATTTCACTATTAATTTAGTTCCTTCGGTAGTATAATTCAGCATTATATGAAGGGGAAATGGACGATAATTTTGTCATTTCTAAAACAGTTACCATTATTTCAATACTCCCTCATTTTTTACCTTTTGGTACTTTCCAAAAAGATTGCAATATTTTTCTTGATAAACTGGTCCCTAAGTATCCTGTTAACACTTGGTCTCTTGTCTGGATCTTGAGCAAGCATGGACTTGATGAGGGTGACTAGCTCAGGTGTATATTGGCTAGGCATCTGAGGCATCTGAAATATATGACCATGTTATATAACCTGTTAAAAAAACACCAGAGGTTAGTTTCTAAACTCTTAAATTCAGGCTGTATAAAATATGATGTATGTAAAATATCTTTCAGTTAAAGATACCTGAAATACATCACATGCATTTAAAGTAAAATTAATATTATAATTCAACAAGTCTAGTATCTGACAGATTTTGATGGATCTGGTCTAAATTTATTGGCAACATTTTTATATAATACTGGAAAAGACAATATTTCTCAGACTGCATTGCCCTTGTACAAGTTTCATCACTTCATCACCTAGATACACTAACACATCTGGTACTATTCTACCTCTCTTCTTAGTTAGCAAAGGATATTAGTCTTCCAATAATGACCTACCTTCTTATTTGCCAAACCTATACTCAATAGCCACTTCTTTTCATGCTACTTGCTACAAATCCTTAATGATTGACATACCTATTAATGAATATTAATCAATCAAAATAAAGCAGTTTCTGTCCTACCTTTCCCCTTAAAATTTTATACACTAGAGAGTTCATATCTTTGGCATTGAAGGCATGTTTCAGTGTGGTCATCTCATACACACAGCATCCTAAGGCCCACACATCAGACTGGAATAACAAGAATCTGTAGTGTTTGCTTGTTTGTTGTCTTTAAATGGGACATGATACAAGTTTTTCAGTTCATCATATTTATGAGAGCAGTATTTGGAATGTTTTTCAATAATAAAGACTTCTTGTAAATGTACGGATCTATGTACTGTTTGCAAAGTCTCTCTTAATTGCTGCCTGGAGATCAAAATCCTCAAATAAGAGCATATTATATTTCACAAATGACATCCAAGTACATGTGTAAAAGAGCGTCTGCAGTGAGGATTATTAATATGTTTTTGCATAATCAGCGTTACAAAAGTTATTCTATATACACACTGTATACTGTATTTAACTCTTAGTTATACATATATTCTCACCTTGTGGTTGTATGGTTTGTTAGAAAATAGTTCTGGACTCATGTAATATGGAGTTCCTATAAGTGTTGTAGCCATATCATTGGAGCTTTCAAGCACTCTGAAATAAAGAACATGATCAAATAAAACTTGCTTGTAGTACTGGTAATCTGAAGGTATCAAACCTTTTTTCAATCACTGATTTACATGGATTAAATACATTTTATTAAATCTCTTCTTGAATATTTTGAAACATATTACCTAGTGTATGTAATCTGAGTGCAAGTTCTGATCATGATTAATTTACTTATATTTACCCTAAATGCTAGTAACCACACATTACTCACCTGGCAATTCCCAGATCTCCAAGTTTGATGATCTTGTTTTTGGTCAAAAATATATTTTGTGTCTTCAGATCCCTGTGTAATATGTTCCTTTCATGCATGTACTGGAATATTTTGAAAAAGGCAAATAATAATAATCTACTAAGAAGAGCAATATTTTCACACTAATTGGTTAATTATTACCAAATTAAATCATATTACCCCTTTCGTCTAAGACATTTTATTTCTTAACAAAAGATCAAACTCTGTTTGAAAGTTTCATTTGCTGCAATACACATAATTTATATAACAAAGATTGACACTGTATTGATTTTGTACATAATTTACTGCTGATTTTTTATACTGTACATTTGTGACACAGTAAAAGCATTACTACAATGTAGTTAAATTATACACAATGTAGTACAGTGTGGTCACCTCTCCTTACCTGTAACGCCATTGCTATCTGTACAAACCATTCCACAATCTGCCTCTCATCTAGTAACACCCCCTTCTGTTCCTTTAACCTATTATACAAGTCTCCACCTTCACAGAAGCTCATAACAATGTATAACAAGCCATCTGAGGTCTCAAATGAGTCTCTGTAGGAGACTATATTAGGGTGTTTTAACTTAGACAGAAGTTTGGCTTCTTGTTCTGCAGCTTTTCTTTCTCTTTTTGATGCATTTTTTAGTTCCATCTTTTTTAGTACATACTGAAAGATAATTTTTGACAAGTATGACTATTTCCCATAAATTGAACATTACATCCCATTGAGAAAAAAATCTTATCATATTAACAACATTGTAATACTTCAGGTATTGTCATAACCCAAGTCTGCATATTTCATGTTTGTTAATCCAACTTTACTTATAATAAAATTCTAATATTTCAACCATTTACTAGGATTTATGTTTCATTTTGGGATTGCTTTTAAAATAACAAATCATTTTTCAATGTACAGGTATATTGTATATAATCAATTTATAAATCAAGTACAAAGCACCATACAGAAAAAAATGAATTCTATTATTAATGTTTAAAAAAATGGAATGTAATGACCAAACGAAGAAAATATTTTACCACTAACCGTATACCTCACCTCAGTCTCAATGATTTTTTTTTTCATTTTCACCTGACATTTTACCTGTTTTTTATCCTTTTTGTGTCGAACTAACCAAACCTCTCCATAGCTGCCTTTGCCCACATTTCTTATCTCTTGGTACATCGAAAGTGGATTATCAGGATCCATTTTGAATGCTATGTTATAGCCTTAATGAAAACAGGTGTTTCTTTATAAAAGTCGTCAACAAAGTCTCATTCAGCAGCAAACAGGTGTTTGAAGGTGAAGTCAGTGGCCGTTTTCCAGCTCACGTAGAGCGCGTACCTGGGCAACCAAATTAATTTTGGTTCGTGGTTGTTTAACAGCACGAGTCAACAATATATGCGATGCAAATATGCGTGTCCATCACATCTCATCTAGTTCGGAAAAACTGCAAAGCGATTCAATCACTACTGCAAACAAAATGGTGCTTCGTTTCTGATCTCCAGGAAGTAGAAAGTCGATTGCATTCCTTTCCGTAGAGGTCGCTGTTGTCGACGCGCATGCCCAACAGCGTACTTCCTAATATCTCGAGATGGTGGGTGTCTTCCTTGTTTTATTATTTTGCGATTCTTATCTATAATCAAAGCAATGTTTAAAATTATTGACTTGAATACGATTATCTTTGAGTGATAGAATAATTATATGCGAAATTTTCATAGATCACAAGAGTTCTTAACACTTTTGTGAAGGTATAAATTCGCCGGCTGACTCACCAGAAGTCGGTTCCTCTTGCTGAACGTAAGCGTCGATCCTGAACTTGAAGTTCACTGGTTTCTGAATGCTTTAATATTATTGTTTAATGTGCATTTGGATAGGCCATCGACTGCTGTTTGTAGTTTCTCTGTCTTATTTCAGACTATCACTTCCTATTTCTGAAATCGGGTTTTCAATTGATAACTTGTGACAAGAGTCAAGATAAGTTTCAGCAATGGCTGTTTAATGCAGTATTTTATATATTTCAGTCTGCCACTCTCAGACCTTATCTTAGTGCTGTAAGGCAAACCCTAACAGCTGCTTTGTGCCTTGAAAACTTCTCTTCACAAGTTGTTGAAAGGCATAATAAACCAGAGGTAGAAGTAAAGTGAGTGTTGGAATTTCTTATCACTGTTCTGTTATCTGCAGAAAACTAAATTAATGCTTGTCATAAATTGAAACAGAATTGAATAAAAGTTATGCCCTATGAATATGTTTTGCATGCATCTGTTTGAAGATGGGAAAGCTATATTTTATGACTTTGGATTATGAATAGTTCCTCACATATAATGATCATGAAGTAATTCACAATTACATTTCCAATGTCAGCAAATGAAACAAAAAAATGACACTGTGCTAATGGCAAATATTAATATTTCAGGAGCAGCAAGGAACTGCTACTTACACCAGTAGTAATCAGTAGAAATGAGAAGGAAAAAGTGCTTATAGAAGGTTCAGTCAACTCACTCAGGATTAGCATAGCAGTAAAACAGGTGAGCATGTTGAATTTCTATTTGTTACCAAATTTCTGCTTTTTACAGGTTAATGGCTAATAGTTTATGTCAAAGGCCAAGTGTGCAGGCACAAAGAAAGAGTCATAGATAAGATTGCAGAACAATTAGTAGTAAATTCTTCAGTGGGAAAAACCATGTCTTAAAAAACATATCTTCTCTCTTAAAGTTATTCAAGAACAAACTTTTTTGGTAGAAGGTTAAATTTAACAGGTCTACATTGATCTTAAGAAACATATCAGTTTTGTTAAAGAAAGTGATAAGAATAATTTTGCATGTTTTTCAGGCTGATGAAATTGAAAAAATTCTGTGCCACAAATTCATGAGATTTATGATGATGAGGGCAGAAAATTTTGTTATTCTCAGAAGAAAACCAGTAGCGGTGAGTGCTTTTGGGTTAACTTAGCTATTCATTTCTTTAACTGAAATCCTTACAGTAAATACAAATTGACAAAAGTGGGATAAATGTTTTCTTACAGACATATTTATCTATTATTTTATTAGCAACATTACAAGCAAAAAGGTAATGTTTCTTGCAGTAAAAGAGGCCTTGGTAATGATAATGGCCACAATCTGAATTATTTAATTGCTTATATATCTGACAGTGCTATAGACTATAGTATTGTTGTATGTTAAGTTGACCAACTAAGAAGGAAATGGATTATTTGATGTCAGACTGATGAAAGGAGAAAATATTCTCATCTTAAAATATTGGAACCATGTTGTCACAGATGCTTACCAGGGGCGGATCCAGAGTTATTTTCTGACGATCTTCCAATTTATCTTTGTTGATCCATCCTCCATTTTTGACCGTCTTCCGACAGAAAAAATTAGATACCAGTCAATGTAAACTTGAAAATCTGACCGTCTTCCGGAAGACCCAGAAGACGCCCTAAATCCGCCCCTGCTTACATAGCCAGATTGTAGTCTTCTTATGTTTCAAAATCCTTTATTGCAGGGATATGATATTAGTTTTCTGGTGACCAACTTCCACACGGAACAAATGTACAAACACAAGATAGTTGATTTCATCATTCAGTTCATGGAGGAAATTGACAAGGAAATTAGCGAAATGAAACTGGCAGTCAATTCTAGGGCACGTATCTCAGCAGAGGAATTTCTCAAGAGGTTTTAGCATGACATAAGTATGGTATGAGTATTTTTGTTTTTAATTTATTTCAGTGTATTTTTTATTAAAAACTATATTGGTAAAGAAATCACCAGTTATCCCAAATTGACAGTTGCAATATAAGATTTTTTAAATGTTTTTAATATGTGGTTCATGTAAAAAGTTTCAAGCTAATTTTTTTTAATAGCATACTGGTACAGTTGAGACAATTTGTTGAAAATACAAGCATATGATTTTTTTCCAGAACAGCAAATTTTCACTGCACTGAAGATGGAAGTAATAGTTTTCCAAAGGACACAAAGAAAATGTTCACAGACTTTAGACAGTGAGCAGACCATTCTCTCCGGTGTTTTGTTATGAACTATTTCTTAGATAAAGGTGGAATTGTAATTAAATCCCACACTGGAGCTTATTTAAGGCTCATCACACGGCCGTCTTCAGGTGAACTGGGACTCTCACCAATGTCAAATGATGACAATCTGCACTTTAGATTTAATTACAGTTTTGCCTTTGTCTTGAAACAACTGGAATAGACCAAATGCTGACAGTAGCAGCTCTGTTAAATGCTAGTAGAAGAGCTGCTGAAGTGGCCTAGGTGCAGTGGCCAAGCACTATAAATACAATTTATAACCTATAAATAAGTTTTAGGAAGTTGACAAATTATTGTCACAATTGTTAATTAGCCTAAGAAATGGCAATTTTTAGGTATATAAAATTGTTGGAGCTGTTTATATTCCTTAACCATTCCATTTTGAATCTGGTAAAAATATAATAGCATTATTGNTGGTCAAATTTCAAAGTTTACGTTGATGAGTACCTAATTTTTCTGTCGGAAGACGGTCAAAAAATGGAGGATGGATCAACAAAAAATGGAGGATGGATCAACAAAGATAATGTGGAAGACTGTCAGAAAATATCTCTGGATCCGCCCCTGTAATTTGCCAACAAACTACAATATATTTATAATACATAGTATTATAATAATAATATGACTCCATTCTCACTGAACTGCAAGTAAATGCCAGGTGATTCCACATGCTGTGATGGGATCAAAATATACACAATGTCATATGATAACCATGAGTTAGAGAGATTACTGGAAACTTGCATCCACTTTCAGCATATCTCTCCTACTCCCAGTAATGTTATAGACAGTGGATTTAAGTTTCCATTAAATTCTGAACCTCAAGGTGATCTAATTAGGTGGGTTTAGACTAGGGTGAGTTCATAAGCCTTGCTTATTGCTATTTAATGGCAGCTTTGGTTTTTGTTACTTTAATAATAAAAGGCTTATACTAAAATGGAATAGGTTCCCCCAAAGCTGATAAGCATGTGTCTTTTTAAATGTATGAACTCCACTGTACCTCCTAAACCTACATACATATGTATATACATGCAATATGCATTGCTCATAACATTAGTATGACCGTTACATCCATCATGCTTACAACACATTTCCTCCATGCTGTCACCTGAATTTTTTCCATGCATGACAAGTGCCTTTTCCCCCCCATTTCTATAAGTTAGTGGTGCTAAGGCATAAAGGTATGCTCCGTCATATTCATTTACCCTCTCCCCATCTTTTCTAAACATTCTTTTAATACTCTCAAGAATATTTATTCTCTTAGACATTCTGTGCAATTTTTGAGACCTAATATGTCTAGACTGTTTCTACATGAAAAAGCTATGATCACGAGCACACCTTTGGTAATGAGTATTAATCATCCTGCCAATCTGGATATTTTATTGGCAGCAATGTATGTAATTTGTTAGTACTTCCTTTTAAGAGCCATTAGTTTTGTTTGTTAATCTCTGCATTTGCACTTCTATTTTTCAATTTTTTTGCAGAGTTTTATAACTACTAAATAATTAAATTGTGTTTCTTGTCAATAGGCAATTGGAAATACATAATGTTCAAAATCAACGTAAAACTAATAAAAAGTAAAATAAATTCAAGAGATAGATAAACAAAACCAATGGTCTTTTAATACAAAATGTAAATATCATAATCATATAAGGCACTGTTACCTATTTTTCTCATGTGAACGTACAACATAAGTCCTGAAGAGGAAATGAGTAAGTAAACAAATGAATGTTCTTTAAAAACACATAAATATTAATGTCCGAAAATGCCCATTTTACACAAAAGTAGATTGGCAACGTAAAAGAGGATAGCACAAATGAAAAGTGTTAAGTTTCAAACAAACTCCAAAATTCAGATTGAAAAAAAAACCTATAACAGATATTAACTAACACAGTAGAGGTAATAAACTACATTACTGGCAGCAGGAATGTCACACAATAACATTAAAATAATTCCTTTATTTTCAATTGCAGTTTGCTAATGAAGTGTGCTGAAAAGGTGAACACATAAAGTGACACTCCTTACATTATTTGAAGAAAATAGGAAAGAAATCAGGAGAAATCAATAGAGCACAAATAAATTTTAAATCTTATACCTGGTTCACAGAATTTACCCCACGCTTCAGTTCAGAGGCAAATATATGCATGCACACGTTTATGAAATTACCGATTTGCAGGCATACAGGGGTATTTCAATACATAGGAGCTGACCCACATCAAGCCTGTGCTCTGCTAAGAGAGTTCTGTTGTCTACTTGAATTTACCAAAGACTGGACTCACCCTTTCTCTTCTCTTTCCTTTTCGTCCTCCAGAGTGGTATCTTCATCTCCATCCACATCATCTACTTCAACTTCAGACATCTGACGATGCACATGGGGCTGATGTTTACGCAACAGAGAAAGATAATAAATCTACGTAAAAATATTACATACATGACTTCTTTCAAAACTGTTTCTATCTTCAAAAGTAATGAAAAATCAATTTTGAGGTAAAAATGACATATCAAGTATATTCAAAAGTCCTGGTCCCAGTTTCACAAATAACTTAAGTCATTCCCTGGCTTAGTTGACTAGGATTACCATCAAAGTGCTGTTACACTGCACCTGATAGGGTAAGATGTGCCAATGTGACCATGTAACCTTGGTAATTAAGTTCTTAGCCAGGGAACCTGACTTAAGTTTTTTTGTGAAAGCGATGCCTGGTTTGAGCCCAAACCAAGCTAAAGACTGCTGAAATGATTTTTAAAAATCTGCAATTCCATTACACACTTACACGGGCCTCCTTTTTCTCCTGTGCTGAATCTGCCACAGCAAGGTCCTGCTCTATGTGCCCCTCTGGCTGAGATGGCCGCCGTCGGTCCGACGCACCTGGAGGACCAGTGGGGGTGTCTAAGCCATCTTGTTTCTTTTCCCTGCGCCTGGCTCGTGCAGATGTGTTGGGTCTTGACTGTCAATAAAGGACGAAGAGGTCTCAAATCTAAATTTTTACATAGTTTCTTGCCATAAACTGTTGGTCTATAAAATCTGTGGTAAGATAACACTTAGAGATACTTTAAAAATTACATAATGTTTTTTTTTTTCGCAAAAGTTAAGAACAAATATGTTCCAGCTGTATTTTTCCCATCACATTTTTAAAGAAAACACCTCAGAATGCATTCAAAATGTGAATTTGTGCTATTCAGAGCTTAATAAAGTAAACCAACAAACTATCTTAAAATCAGTGAATAAGCTCATGCCTATCAACAAACTAAAGTAACTAACCCTTGGAGTGTCATCTCCTGTTGGAGTGTCATAACTTGAGCTTGTGACACTTGATGATGACGTCGAGACTTCAACAGATTGTCTGTTTTTCTTCTGGTTCTTCTGAGGTATTCCACCACTTGCTGGTGGGGGTGGTAAGGGGCGTGGTTTCTCAACAGGAATTGGCTGAAAAGAAAGAGAGGGAGCAAGTATATTGTACAATTATACTGTTCATGTAGCTTTGGTGAGAAGATGTTTTAAATCATTTATGTTTTTTCTTGAATGTCAGGTGGAAAGTCAAATAAATGCCAAAAATGCAGGTTTCTATTTTGATATAAAAAGGTTCTACTCCCAAATAAAACTAAAAACAAAGACTACCCATTTTTGTTTTAGATATGTTCATAATAAACTTAATTAAACTGCTCTTAAACAAAATATTAAGTCTTAGATTTATGCATAATGAAAAGTGTCATATCTCACATTTTCAAATATTTCCTTCTTTGTTGGCTTATCTTCATCAAAAACATTGTCATCAACATCCCCTTTCTGTTTCTTCTTTTTTGAGGATTTCCTTTGACCTGTTTCCTTTCATGAGAAAAAGCAAATTTATTTTAAATTTTTCATACTTAACTGAATATCAAAATGAAAACTAACCTCTATTATTCCATTTACTGGAAACAACAAAAGCCAGGTTCCAGTGAACTTAGAAACTCTGGATATCTTGTATCAAAATATTTATAATGTATCAAAATATTTTAAGTGATTAATGTGCATTTGTGCGTGTGTATGTGTGTTTGTGTAAGCAGCAATAGAGAGGTTTCACAGCCGTGCGGATATGCATACGGAAAAGGATACGTCATCAGTTTATGTGTATATTTGATGTCATTGAAACCTGTAGTGTCAAATCCGTAGTGGTTGAGCGGGATATATACGTCCATATATGTGGCTGAAAAACGGGTATGTTTTACTTCTATTTCACATGGCTATCATCATGCCGAGCACTGACATGACATACTGAGATGTAGAGTGATATCCGTCAAAGTGTCAGGAACGGCTAGCGAAACGCAAATTGCATTCCCGTACTGAACGGCTACGGGTATATCTGGTATCCGTTCCCGTAACCGTATCCACACCGCTTGGGAAACCTCCCTAATGACACACAGTTTCTAGTTATGAAAACATCTTTTCTACTGCTGGGATGGAAATGGGGTAAATCAATTAATGCAATGGCAATCTGGAATCTAACACTCCTGACATACCCAGATTTATTTACCTTTTGGTCCTCATCCACCGAGCTGTGCACAGAACTACTTGTGGTCACTTGAACGCCATCAGCTTGGTCATTGCGTTTACCAGAGCCAGGACGACGGCCGGCAGAATTCGGACGATTACCTGAACTTGGACGATTGCCAGAACTTGGACGGTTGCCAGAACTTGAGCGTTGAGCAGTTGACGGACGGCTGCCACTTGTGCTTGGACGGCGGCTGAATTAATGGGTAGATAAAATTTAATTGTTAAATATAAATACATGCTGTATAACTTCATATCACTGATTTATGCTTAACATTTGATATATCAAAAAATTATGTGTATTATTTAAATCTGCATTGATGTAATGCATATTAATTTCTTCTAAAAAATGTTAAAGAATTTCACTAGTCTATCAATTTAGTCCTTTCAAGTAGCATAATTCAGCTCAGTACTAAGGAAGGGCAGATTAAGAAAACAAATTTTGTAATTTCTAATTTCTAAAACAGTTACCATTTTTGCAATACCCCCTTATTTTATACCTTTTGGTACTTTCCAAAAAGATTGCAATATTTTTCTTGATAAACTGGTCCCTAAGTATCCTGTTAACACTTGGTCTCTTGTCTGGATCTTGAGCAAGCATGGACTTGATGAGGGTGACTAGCTCAGGTGTATACTGGCTAGGCATTTGAGGCATCTGAAATATATGTCCATGTTATATAACCTGTTAAAAAAACACCAGAGGTTAGTTTCTAAACTCTTAAATTCAGGCTGTATAACATATGATGCATGCAAAATATCTTACAGTTAGAGATATTTGAAATACATCAAATGCATTTAAAGTAAAATTAATATACAACAAATCTGGTATTTGTAAGATTTTGATGGATCTGGTCTAAATTTATTGGTAACATTTTTATATAATACTGGAATAGACAATATTTTCAGACTGCATTGCCCTTGTACAAGTTTCATCACTTAGACTGCATAATACAACTGGTACTATTCTTCCTCCCTTCTTGGTTTTAACCTTTGTTAAAACAAAAGATATTAGTATTTCAATAATGACCTACCTTCTTATTTGCCTAACCTATACTCAATAGCCACTTCTTTTCATGCTACTTGCTACAAATCCTTAATGATTGACATACCTATTAATGAATATTAATCAATCAAAATAAAGCAGTTTTTGTCCTACCTTTCCCCTTAAAATTTTATACACTAGAGAGTTCATATCTTTGGCATTGAAGGCATGTTTCAGTGTGGTCATCTCATACACACAGCACCCTAAGGCCCACACATCAGACTGGAATAACAAGAACATATTATCTGTAGTGATTGTTTGTTGTCTTCAAATGGGACGTGATACAAGTTTTTTCAGGTCATCATATTTATGACAGCAGTATTTAGAATGTTTGTCAATAATAAAGACTTTCTTGTAAATGTACGGATCTACATACTGTTTGCATTGTTAAAGTCTCAACTGCTACTTAGGGACCAAAATCCTCAAATAAAGAGCATATTAAACTTCATAAATGACATCCATTTAAGCACATGCACAAAAGAGCCTCTGCAGTGAGTTTTATTAATTTGTTTTTGCATCATTTATGTCACAGAGTTATTCTACATGTATCTATACACATATTTTCACTTCAGAGTGTATGTGATACATATATATCCTCACCTTGTGGTTGTATGGTTTGTTAGAAAATAGTTCTGGACTCATGTAATATGGAGTTCCTATAAGTGTTGTAGCCATATCATTGGAGCTTTCAAGCACTCTGAAATAAAGAACATGATCAAATAAAACTTGCTTGTAGTACTGGTAATCTGAAGGTATCAAACCTTTTTTCAATCACTGATTTACATGGATTAAATACATTTTATTAAATCTCTTCTTGAATATTTTGAAACATATTACCTAGTGTATGTAATCTGAGTGCAAGTTCTGATCATGATTAATTTACTTATATTTACCATAAATGCTAGTAACCACACATTACTCACCTGGCAATTCCCAGATCTCCAAGTTTGATGATCTTGTTTTTGGTCAAAAATATATTTTGTGTCTTCAGATCTCTGTGTAATATGTTCCTTTCATGCATGTACTGGAATATTTTGAAAAAGGCAAATAATAATAATCTACTAAGAAGAGCAATATTTTCACACTAATTGGTTAATTATTACCAAATTAAATCATATTACCCCTTTCGTCTAAGACATTTTATTTCTTAACAAAAGATCAAACTCTGTTTGAAAGTTTCATTTGCTGCAATACACATAATTTATATAACAAAGATTGACACTGTATTGATTTTGTACATAATTTCCTGCTGATTTTTTATACTGTACATTTGTGACACAGTAAAAGCATTATTACGATGTAGTTAAATTATACACAATGTAGTACAGTGTGGTCACCTCTCCTTACCTGTAACGCCATTGCTATCTGTACAAACCATTCCACAATCTGCCTCTCATCTAGTAACACCCCCTTCTGTTCCTTTAACCTATTATACAAGTCTCCACCTTCACAAAAGCTCATAACAATGTATAACAAGCCATCTGAGGTCTCAAATGAGTCTCTGTAGGAGACTATATTAGGGTGTTTTAACTTAGACAGAAGTTTGGCTTCTTGTTCTGCAGCTTTTCTTTCTCTTTTTGATGCATTTTTTAGTTCCATCTTTTTTAGTACATACTGAAAGATAATTGTTGAAATTCGAATTGCAATAATATTAAACATTACATTCAAGTGAGAAAAAAATCAAAACATCATAATACCTCAGGTATTGGCATAATCCAAACGCATATAATCAATTCATAAATCAAGCACAAAAGCATCATTCACAAGAAAATAAATCTATGGGTAATACATTAAAACACAAAGCAAACCACAGGACATTATGACGATTAAAAAGAAATATTTGACCGCTATACCTCACCCCAGCTTCAATGAAGTCATTTTATTTTCACCTGACTGTGACATGTCATATTTACCTGTTTTTTATCCTTTTTGTGCCTAACTAACCAAACCTCTCCATAGCTGCCTTTGCCCACATTTCTTATCTCTTGGTACATCGAAAGTGGATTATCAGGATCCATTTTGAATGCTATGTCACAGCCTTAATGAAAACAGGTTTTTCTTTATAAAAGGTGTCACCAAAGTTGGTCTCTCATTCAGCAGCAAACAGGTGTTTGAAGGTGAATTAAGCCAGTAGCCGTTTTCTAGCTCACGTAGAGCGCGTACCTGGGCAATCAAATTAATTTTGGTCCGCGGTTGATTAACAGCACGAGTCAACAATATATGCGATGCAAATATGCGTGTCCATCACATCTCATCTAGTTCGGAAAAACTGCAAAGCGATTCAATCACTACTGCAAACAAAATGGTGCTTCGTTTCTGATCTCCAGGAAGTAGAAAGTTGCGTGCATTCCTTTCCGTAGAGGTCGCTGTTGTCGACGCGCATGCCCAACAGCGTACTTCCTAATATCTCGAGATGGTGGGTGTCTTCCTTGTTTTATTATTTTGCAATTTTTATCTATAATCAAAGCAGTGATTTAAAATTATTGGATTAATAACGATTATCTTTGAGTGATAGAATAATTGTATGCGAAATTTTTATAGATCACAAGAGTTCTTAACACTTTTGTGAAGGTATAAATTCGCCGGCTGACTCACCAGAAGTCGGTTCCTCAAGCTGAACATCCTAGCGTCAATCTTAAACTTCAAGTTCACTGGTTTCTAAATGCTTGTATATTTTTGTTTAAATTGTATTTTATCAGTTAAATAGCAACTGCTGTATGTCGTTGCTCTGTGTTATTTCAGAATGACACTTCCTGTTTCTGAAATCAGGCTATCAAATTAGCAAGAGTCAAGTCAAGTTTAGCAAGAGCCATGTTTTTATCATATTAATACAATATTTTATGTATTTCAGTCTGCCACTCTCAGACCGTATCTTAGTGCTGTAAGGCAAACCCTAACAGCTGCTCTGTGCCTTGAAAACTTCTCTTCACAAGTTGTTGAAAGGCATAATAAACCAGAGGTAGAAGTAAAGTGAGTGTTGGAATTTCTTATCACTGTTCTGTTATCTGCAGAAAACTAAATTAATGCTTGTTATAAATTGAAACAGAATTGAATAAAAGTTATGCCCTATGAATATGTTTTGCATGCATCTGTTTGAAGATTGGAAAGCTATATTTTATGACTTTGGATTATGAATAGTTCCTCACATATAATGATCATGAAGTAATTCACAATTATATTTTCCAATATCAGCAAATGAAACCAAAAAAAAAAAAAAAAAAAAATGACAGTGCTAATGGCAAATATTAATATTTCAGGAGCAGCAAGGAACTGCTACTTACACCAGTAGTAATCAGTAGAAATGAGAAGGAAAAAGTGCTTATAGAAGGTTCAGTCAACTCACTCAGGATTAGCATAGCAGTAAAACAGGTGAGCATGTTGAATTTCTATTTGTTACCAAATTTATGCTTTTTACATGTTAATGGCTAATAGTTTATGTCAAAGGCCAAGTGTGCAGGCACAAAGAAAGAGTCATAATTAAGATTGCAGAACAATAGTAGTAAATTCTTCAGTGGGAAAAACCATGTCTTCAAAAACATATCTTCTCTCTTAAAGTTATTCGAGAACAAACTTTTTTGAAAGAAGGTTAAATTTAACAGGTCTACATTGATTTTAAGAAACATATCAGTTTTGTTAAAGAAAGTGATAAGAATAATTTTGCATGTTTTTCAGGCTGATGAAATTGAAAAAATTCTGTGCCACAAATTCATGAGATTTATGATGATGAGGGCAGAAAATTTTGTTATTCTCAGAAGAAAACCAGTAGCGGTGAGTGCTTTTGGGTTAACTTAGCTATTAATTTCTTTAACTGAAATCCTTACAGTAAATACAAATTGACAAAAGTGGGATAAATGTTTTCTAACAGACATATTTATCTATTATTTTATTAGCAACATTACAAGCACATAGGTAATGTTTCTTGCAGTAAAAGAAGCCTTGGTAATGATAATGGCCACAATCTGAATTATTTAATTGCTTATATATCTGACAGTGCTATAGACTATAGTATTGTTGTATGTTAAGTTGACCAACTAAGAAGGAAATGGATTATTTGATGTCAGACTGATGAAAGGAGAAAATATTCTCATCTTAAAATATTGGAACCATGTTGTCACAGATGCTTACATACCCAGATTGTGCCTAACTTTGGTGCAGTATAATTTAGATTTACTTTTAGTCTAGCTTCTTATGTTTCAAAATCCTTTATTGCAGGGATATGACATTAGTTTTCTGGTGACCAACTTCCACACGGAACAAATGTACAAACACAAGATAGTTGATTTCATCATTCAGTTCATGGAGGAAATTGACAAGGAAATTAGCGAAATGAAACTGGCAGTCAATTCTAGGGCACGTATCTCAGCAGAGGAATTTCTCAAGAGGTTTTAGCATGACATAAGTATGGTATGAGTGTTTTTGTTTTTTGTTTATTTTAGTGTACTTTTTATTAAAAAATTATATTGGTAAAGAAATCACCAGTTATCCAAAATTGACAGTTGCAATATAAGATTTTTTAAATGTTTTTAATATGTGGTTCATGTAAAAACTTTCAAGCTAATTTTTTTTAATAGCATACTGGTACAGATGAGACAGTTTGTTGAAAATATAAGCATATAATTTTTTTCCAGAACAGCAAATTTTCACTGCACTGAAGATGGAAGTTATAGTTTTCCAAAGGACACGAGGAAAATGTTCACAGACTTAAGACAGTGAGCAGACCATTCTCTCCCGTGTTTTGTTATGAACTATTTCTTAGATAAAGGTGGAATTGTAATTAAATCCCACACTGGAGCTTATTTAAGGCTCATCACACGGCCGTCTTCAGGTGAACTGGGACTCTCACCAATGTCAAATGATGACAATCTGCACTTCAGATTTAATTACAGTTTTGTCTTTGTCTTGAAACAACTGGAATAGACCCAATGCTGACAGTAGCAGCTCTGTTAAATGCTAGTAGAAGAGCTGCTGAAGTGGCCTAGGTGCAGTGGCCAAGCACTATAAATACAATTTATAACCTATAAATAAGTTTTAGGAAGTTGACAAATTATTGTCACAATTGTTAATTAGCCTAAGAAATGGCAATTTTTAGGTATATAAAATTGTTGGAGCTGTTTATATTCCTTTACCATTCCATTCTGAATCTGGAAAAAATATAGTAGCATTATTATAATCTCTGCTTTGTAAATGACCTATCATTTAGTTGAATGCCTTGTTATTATTAAAATAAATCTACTTGTTTAATTTTAATTGCTATTAGAACATCATTTATCAGAAAAAAAATCAACAAAATTATTTAGGAGTGTAATATAAATATTGGACAAAAGCAAATTTAATTCAACACAAAACAGATTTGCAGAAAAGTAACATTTTGATGCCATGTTCAGAAAACTGATTAACTTTCATGTCTTTTGCAGAAATTAGACCATGTTGGGGGGGGGGGGTCGTTATGCATCTAAACATTTGAACTTCACAAGCTGTGAAACACAGCTATGTTCAAGATTATCCAGGCTTTAAAAGATTTGGTCAGGACAAGAAATGATCTTAAAAATGCATTTGGATACATCATATTAAATGAAAAAAATAAGAAAGAAGTTGAAAAGAACATTGAGGAACAGGGGTACCTCCCCTTTGCTTTTTAGGATGTGCAAAGGAAATTATTTATAAATATGTTGATATGCTTTTTACTACACTATCAATAAAAATATTGTATTGTCTACTTCAGGGTTGGTTTATATTGCAGATTGACATATTATCATATCTTGTATGGAGATGTGTTTAAGTGTATTTTTTTTCTAATTTTACACATCAGGTTGGAATTAGATGTGAGTATTCTAAAACAAAGGTGTGGATCCCGTCTCCCACATATTTTCCCAAAGGTTTAATTTATTTACTAACTGCATTCCCCCTTTAATTCACAGGTTGAACAGAAAAAACAAGTTTTATATTTTGTGTTAAAAAGCAAGGTAAATGGCCTAAAAAAATACCCCTACGCATTTCCTCAATTAGGACTATTTAATACAAATATAAAAATATATAAAAACTTGTGGAACAACATTCAATTATTGCGATTGCATAAAATCAGATTTTTTGGTCATGAAATAAAATGCAAGATGCAAAACCTAAAATATCATCAAATTTTATTATCATAAAGTAAGATCATGTGACCCTTACCTGAAACAAAAATATATTTGGAATTTATTTCACTTAATTAATATTTCACAGGTTAGTTTAATTAATGTCTTAAAAACTGGCCACATAGGTAATGGCATATACAAAAATCCCCAAGACTGACGTGATTTTCTTAACTTCTTAGGTGTCAAATGTGACTGTATAGTTGAAAATACTAACTATATCATGCTAGATCCGAGTTGATATGTATTTAGTCACTGTCAAATAACTACATCTTAAACCAAACTTTTTACCAAGCCCATTCCCTTGTATTGAAGCAATATTTGAAAAACATTTTCCTTATTATCTTAGGGTATTGTGGCCAATACAGGAACATTTAGACTCGCGGTGCGAGTGCAGGTCCTGTCCCACAAAATAATCAATCATAGGAAGTTAAATTTTACAAGAAGCCTTAAGCTCTGCAAATCTTTTTTTACCCAGTCATCCAACCAATTCTTTTGCTGCATAATAAACTCTGTCAACTACATTTATTGTTGCCCATCATTATAAAAATTTCTAAGATTACCATAGCAGTCAAATTTACGTGGTCCACTATCTGGTTTTAGCATTCTAAGCCAAGATCAAATATTAAAGACTTTTATTTGTGAAACAGGCCATAGTGGAAAAAAATACTGACATACGCAATTCTCAGAACCCTGAGCACAACATAAGGTTATGAAATCTCTTTTTCTCATAATCATTTTGCTTTTAATTGTGCAAATCTACAACCTTTCTAATACAGTTTAGCTAATAAATTGCACATTTTTTTTTACTTGATATATCCCCCATCCCTTCTCCCTGCTCCCCTCAAAGTGAATCTCTATCTGTGATTTAGTGAAAATGTATAGTTTCATAACACCTTTAAATGTGGTCATTTGATGCAGTCACTGTAGCGCTTTATGTTTCCAGAAAAAAAATCGTAACAGACAACGTAAAAACAAAACTTGAATAACATTCATCAACCTTAATTACAATTTTTAAAAGTATCTTTCAAATTACTTGTAAGCAATATAACATATAGTCAGTTTGTAAAACTGAATTTTCCTCCCTTCATTTAATGCATAATAGTAAAACAGATATTAATTATCTCTTAGATCAATTCTGAATCATTTATACATGGTTGTGATATTCATTCTATATGGCATAGTTTTGCACCCAAGTGAAGTGAAATAAAACGAACAAATTATAATTATTATTGTCTTCATGTTATCTCATTGATTTGTTAATGTGCATATTTTGAATACTGTTCTGATCTTCCAGCACCTACAAACCTTGAAGAAATGCATTGCTAGAAAGTGCACTAAAATAACAGTACTAATGACAAAATTGTTGGACTTAACAACTGAGCAATAAGTTCAATTTCTGTAAGATAAAAGTAGAAAAAAACTTTGGCTAATATTGTCTTTTGTCTGTTGATACTAAACTACACTACTTTAAACCTTTTCAATTTCCTAGGACTTTATGACCTAAGTTTTCATGCACCTGGTGCTATCCAATTAAGGAACTTCAGACATGCTTCATAGCCAAAGAAACAGGCCTGAAAGAGAGTAAAATAAAGAACAAGTTGAGTTTAAAATTCTATGACTAAGAAACTAAATGGATTGTCTATGTATTTCACCATTTTTGCTGTTCTAAAATTTTACTGCCCTTGAGTGACACTCCACATATTCAACTCAAAAATGCTTGTCAAATCAAACAATGTACTAGTAATACTATTTTTTAAAATAAATACTCTACTTTGATATTAAGTAAAACTGTAACAAGAAGGGTCCTCTAAAGTAGCCCACTGCCTGTGGATACAAACTGGTCAGTATTATTCAGTTATCAAAACTAAAAACCAATATCTAAATGGAGTTTCCCCAACACTTACAGCATTAGCTGGGAATGCCCTGAGAAACACTGGGGCTGCACCTTTGTATAGAGCTAATGGGCCTTCATTCTTCATCAAGTGCTTTAATACATCTCCTACACCCTTGTACATGCCCTCTGGAGCTAAAATGGGGAGAAGGAGAGCTTATAAGTTGCACAAGATACATATAAGCATTCCATATTGGTAAAAAGAGTATATAGTTATTCAAGAGACTGTTAAACTGATTGCTTTCAGTGAAAGTCCTTGCGGAGTTGGATCCATCTACAGAGAACAATATTTGAGCACTAACCTGTTTGAAACCTGGACTTAAGCACATCGGGAGGCATGGCTATCATCCAATTGAATATACCTGCCATACCTCCAGCAAATAAAATGCGTGGGACACTCAGTTCACTCCTGAAATGTTTGCTCTCATTCAGAACAGGGGACTAACAGAACCAGGGATCAAATAAAGCGGACTGCAATATAAATCTATTCAGTGTCTAATCCTGAATCAAGCGACAAGCTTTTAAGTGGGTCGCCATATTTGATCTGAGAATCTATTAATCCACTGCTCTGAATGCACTCTTAGATCGATTCACAACGAGTTGAGCCAGGCTTTACAAATCCTGGGGACTAAATATGGTGGACGTACATGAAAGAAAAACCCTCTAATATTTTAAAAGTCTCTTCGCCTCTCACACGCCTCTCCATGCGTCGTCCCTGCGGGGGTACAGTCATTAAATTTCAGCTCCATTGGGACAACACATGGGGAGGCATGTGAGAGGCGGAGAGACTATTAAAAGATTAGGCAGTTTTCCTTTCATGTACGTCCGCCATATTTAGTCTCAGGATTTGTAAAGCTTGGCTCAAATCGTTGTGAATGCGGTCTTAGATTAATCATGCGACCTTCATATACATATAGGTTAATATCTTCTGCAACATACTGATATATATTCTCTGTATATGAGACAGATTCACCATTTCAAATAACTCCATACCCTTGTATATGGCTTTCTTATTACTTACTTATGACTTTAACTTCTCACTATCATCATTACAAAAAGTACTTTGGAAAAAGATTAATAAATGCAAAACCACCACTTCAATGCTATACACTGGAAGAAGAGAGCAGCATTTATACAATGCTCCACAGATAATTCCGTTTCACACTTACTGTTTTCCCTCTGGTGCCAAAGATTTCTTCAGCCATTCATATGACATGAAATACATTCCTGATGCAGGAACATCTGCAAAAAGATTATAATTAATTAATTTATTAATTAAATAAATATATCAAATTCAATAAAGAAGCTCACTGAACAGAACTTATGATTCAAAATTCCACTTCTCTTCAAGCAATACAATACGTGTTAAAAAGTTAAATAATATCTCATGATCATGAGTAAGCAAATGAATCTATGTAAACAAATCTTCAATGAAAGTGCAAAAAAAAAAATCTTATGGAAGAGTACAAGTTTTTAGTCTCACAAACACCAGTAATGAATTTAACTTGTAGACGATAACAAAAAGACGATGCTGTCTATTTGGATTTTGCAAAAGCATTTGACACAATAGATACAACCCTTTAACAAAAAAATAATAATCTTACAAATTTGTGAAAAAATTGTAAGGTGGCTATTTTTTTCTCTTACCTGAGTGCCTACCCTGACCTACAAAATTTATCAATCATTTTAAAGTAAGAAAAGAACCCTGTACCTCTAAGTAAAGTAGCCCCAGTGCCCCTATATATACTTCTAATGCCACCTTCCTTGTAGAGCTGCTTGGCACAGTCCAGTGGTCCCTTGTATTTGGACACCTCCTTGGAACCTTCTTGAATCTGGAAACAAAACACAGATTTAATGACTCATTCCCAATGACACTTTTGTTCTACATATATCGATCCAACTCTGCAATCAGATTAACAGATTAACACACTTCCTCTTGCCATTAAGTAGAATACAGACAAGCTCTTGATGATACGAGTATGTTGGCATGTAAGTCTGATTGCAGAGTACCCCAGGATGTGGATGGATCTATTTAGAACAAGTTTCATTGTAATGTGCCCTAAAATAAAGAGCATGGTAGTCTCCCTCAGTTTCAGAATTTAATGAAATATAAGGTTCAAAGTGGTTAAAATATGTGTATATGAAAATTGATAATTAAATACACACCTGCAATAAGCACTTGATTCTTTCTCCTGGGGTCATTATCACAGTTGTGCACACGCCTGCCAGCATGCCTGCATTCCAGTTCTGTAACGGACTACGAGACAAATATTTTCTTTAGTCTTTTCTATGCTATATATCAAATTGAACAGATATTGTATACATTTTCTAAAAAAATTTATAAAATATTTTATACAAGGAATTTATTTGTCTATCTGTTCTATGGTAATGTATAACAGAAAAAAATCATAATGCACTTCAAATTACTGGGATAAAAATTTTTAAAAAAATTAGAGTCCCCACTGATTAAAAAGTCACCTACTTCCAGATGAGCCAAGAGCTAATGGTAAAAGGCCCTAAATAACCAACAGATTAATTTTAATTATAATTTCACACAGAACATCTACCCACAACCCATTCAACATAAATGATCAACCAGGCATAAACTCTACTATACGCTATCCTCTACCTGGGCGGCAGATATTACAGGCACATTTTCTACATTTTCACAGTTATGAGATTGACCATATTAAGCCAGAGACATTATCTGTGAAAATCTTGGGGAAAAAAAATCAATCAGTGGCCCTGGAAGAGGATAACTAGATGGGGCAATCCTCCAAAACTTACGTCATTTCATCATGGGGGTGCTTCTGCTGTAACTTCTTCCCCATGTTGAAACCCCAAAAGCAAATGGCAAACATAGGGGTCACCCCTGCAATAGGAGCTGCCATGCCTTTGTACAGACCTAGGATACCCTGGAGACACATGAGTTATGTTTTCATTTTATACAGTACAGTTACAAGAGTGTCTTTGCATACAACTTAATTTCTGAAAATCATAATTTTCCATAGGGCTATACTTTTTTTTTTACAAAGCTTCCAGCTCTACTATTTCTACTATCACATGAGATTTTTAATTTTTTTTATAAATCACTATTGCTTTTTAAGACACAAAAAGGTATATATATATATATATATTTAGCAACAGAATTATCTATGTGGTTACTAGTATATTCTACAGCAAGTTAGCATCTTATTGCAAATATTGAACTCATCTCACCTCTTTTGCTACAGCTTGTTTGGCCACATCCCATCCTCCTGTGTACATAGGTTTCTCACCTGGTTTAGGTATAGGCATAGTCTGAAGTCGCACCTACAAATGAGATTTTCTGCATATTTCAACTTTAAAAGAACTAATTTCAAATGGATGTTTTGTTTTGTCAAAGATACTTAGACTGATAAGTCATCAGACCTACCATAAATATTTATTTGGAAAATCAATCATAAAATGCAGGGTTGTCATGCTCCGAACCCTCTTGCTACATACTATTTGTCTGCGGGACCCCCCCCCACACACACCAATTAACCCCCCCCCCNACACACACCAATTAACCCCCCCCCTCCACTTGCCTCCACATATTTGTCTAGTTCAACCTTCAACCATTATTTAATGAATTATTTTCAGGTATATAATGTGATTCATTAATATAACCAACAGAGTGAACAAGAAGCCGATGTTTAAACCAATTAAAAAACTTTTCAAATTAAACTTGGACAAGAATCCTAAGATTTGTCTTTTTAAAGTGTAATTTGGTCTAATATAACTGTAAATAGTTAGTTCGCCCTCACTGTACCACTGCAGAGTAAATATCAAGATGTTTATAATTAGACTGCAGATTTAACCTTTACAGAATCGGTGAAACATGCGTATAATGTACAGCGATGGCTGTAGGCCTCGTGAAGATGCGATATTTTTATTCTACAGCAGAAGTAACTGCACTTTTTACCTTGATAGTATCCAGCGGCTGACCGCTTGCAACAAGGCAAACTCCACCAAACCCTCCAGAAAGGAAGCTTTTCCACAGGCTTACTTTGTGTTCTGACATTTTGCACTTTTTACAAACGCAAAAAAGGTTTAAAAAAACTTGAGACCTAATTGCTAATGCTGGATGTCTGCTACGTTTAGTCTACTTTCCTTGCAATAGAGGGCGCTGTAGTACCAAAACCACCAATCAATGTTGCAGATACAATACCTTAGTCAAGACAGTTCTTCCTGACAAAATAAAAAAGGGAATTGTGGTTATGTTTGATTAAATTATGTAATCATTTATTCTAAAGTGCTGTATTCGTTCTTTATAAAACAATTTTATCACAGATTTATTTTGATTACAGTTAAAAATTCGAAAGGTCAAAGTCCAATCCATATTTACCCAACCAATCAAACGTCCTGTTAGAAATAGTCGGTATTTCCGAAACCCGATTTCCGAAATGGCGGAAGGTGGACCTCCTGATGTTGAGCTACAGAAAAATGAAATTAGACAGTTGATTAAAGAACCCCTCAAAAAGGGAGATATCTGGTAAGTATTTAAACGCTAAATGTACCGAGACAGGCTATTTTTCGAAGAAATTCAGTCCAGTTTCACAGCTAGAATACCTGAAGTTCCGTCAGAAATTTACGTCACTCATTAAGAAGGAACTAAGGCAACCAAACGCTAATTAAATTGTTGCAATTCTTGTTGAATTTTATTAATAACATTGAATTTGTCACAAACCAAAAAGATTCATCGTTTATAAACTATACGAGTTATGTTGTTAATAATTATTGTCATAAGGGTGCAGTTATGAGTCAGTGTTTTTGTTCAGGGGAACTCTTATCACTTTATCAGTTTCATTTCTATCATGTAAGTACATAGTTCCATGATTTTTATCAACCGGTCTTATGTTTCAGGTACTTGGTGGACGCTAAGTGGTTCAAGCAGTGGAAAAAATATGTAGGATTTGATGCATGGGATACAGTCAACACTGGAGAACAAACAGCCTATCCAGGTCCAATTGACAATAGTCCATTGCTGAAAGGTGAATTGTGTAATGTTAAAATGAATTAGGAAATATTAAGTACCTGTTATTGCAGTATGATTATCATATTTTATAATAGTTTTAAAAAGAATTAGGTACCCTAAATGTATAAGAAATATTTGCAGGGTATTTTTGATGTGATACTAAAGAGCGGAATGTAGCACAACCTTGAGCAGAATTGAATCAAGAGCTGATTTGAAATGACTGTTGTTCTGCCACATCATTCTGGCTTTACTGGATAGATGCCCAGAGAGACATGTCAAATTGAGTTCATGATACTTATGAGTGTGCTACATAGTATAGATACAACATTGCCAACATGTGAGTAATAAAAATAGTTGTCTAATGAGCAACAGGTTGACCCCTTCTGGAAAACTGCAGCTTAATTGAAATTATCACCGTTTGCAATCCAAATTAAACATTAATTTCCATAAAAAGTTAGCTTGCAGTTTTTTTGTTGCTTGTTAAAATAGCACTAGGTGAAAAGATTTATCAGAAACTGTTGAAACTCAGCTCACATTGAATTGGAGACTCTAAGATAACTTATTATTATTTCATTATAGTTTATTTAAGTAAGTTAATAATAATTGAAAAAGCATGATGGTATATCCAAAGAAATTCTAGAGGAGTGAAAATAATATCCAAATACTCCCTTGATTATAAGATAAAGACATTTTTCAGGTCTGGATGCATTTTATTGATTTATTGAGATTTATTGAATATTAATAAAGTTGAGCAATAATGGTGGCTTTTAGAAGATAAATTCCAGTAGAATTTTCACATTCAGACCTCTTATATCAAGGATCTTTATAAATTGAACACATATAATAAGTAATTGTTGGAAATTTTATAAATTTTACAAAGCAGGTTTTGAAAAGTGCCAGTGTTAAGCTTGCAGTTGTGTATGGATTCAGAACCCTAAATCGCTTGGTCGGTCTCGGCCTAATAGATTATTAGATTGTTTCTGTGGCATGTACTACAGCAGCATGGAGTATTGATCTGGGAGGCAGCTAATCACTTTACTGGAACTAATAGCAGCATACTGCTATTTACACCCCTGGATGTACATTTCAAGGAGCATAAGTTATACCGTCTCTCATTACTACATGGGATGTTCATCTTTTTCCAATTTGATATTCTAGCTTTTGACTTTGCATTGGCTGTTTTTAGCCAGTACAGGTACTAGTTAGATCTATGTTAAAGGGGCTTCCTCACATTATGTTGCTTATAGCGTTCATCTTTTCTTAACTTTTCAGTAAAGGTGATGTTTCTCCCTTCTCTCTCTCTCTCTCTCGCTCTTCATATCAAGTAGCACATTTGAAAATTGCGATATTAAGATCAATTCTACAATGATTGTTCTTGTAGGTGAGTTACAAGGACATGTTCATGGTTCAAATATTTTGTCTGATGATGATGAAGTGATAAAGGTTAAAAGATGGATAGTGAATGCTCATGGCATTTGTTTTCAGAGAGTGGTGCCCTGAAAGAGCACTTGGTAGATGAGTTGGACTATGTGCTGGTGCCAGAAGAGGGATGGGAGAAGATGTCTTCATGGTACCCACCTGTGGAAGGTCAGGTACGGGCAACCCAGACACCTACTTCATACTTGCTTTAGTTAACTTTAACAGGGAGAAATTTTAATTTTGAAAAATGGTATTCTTTTAAGCAGTAAAGTTAAACATGCTGGTGAAATACTCCTATACAACAAAAAGCAGGTGCCCACAGCTTAGTTTTTTAATCCTGCATTTATATTATAATAATTATTTGGTTGAAAGCTTTCAAGGTCTTGTACATGTGGAATAGAACTAGGCTTGATATTGGTAGTAGCATCAGTGGCATTTGTCACTTGATATTGTGAAGCTGGTTCAAAATGCTACTATCTTTAACTTCAGATGAAATTGTTTGAAGAGCAATCTGAAATTTTCAAAAAAAAAAAAAATCACTGTACTAGTGGGCTTTGGTAATGTTGTGACAGCTGTGAAAAATTTAATTTCTAGCCTTGTGTTAATGTTATTTATTGAGTAAAAAAAAGTCAAGAAATATTTTTATTATAATAATTTGTTTTATATAAGAGGAACAAGCATACCATATTTTTAAAAAATTTATATCCTTTATGTAAGATGTGAGCATCTAAGACATCTGTCCATTTGTTTAGAAACCCATAGCCAGGAAGGTGATAGAGCAGGGGATGTTTGTAAAGCACTGCAAGGTGGAGGTTTATCTCATGGACCTGAAGCTGTGTAAAAATGAAGACATAGACCACTGCACCAGTAAACAGTTCAGCAGGGCAGACACCATTGGTAAGTGTGGGGCACTCTCAGAAGGAAGTAGTATTGTTGAAGGATTGAGAAGAAGCATGTAGCCATGATGATTGTATGTGGTTTACCCTTCTTATGTGATATAAATATAATTGCAGTGTTCAACTTTCACTGAGTGGTGCTGTTCCTGGTATTAAAACATTTGGGGAAAAAACTTGTCTTTTAACATGAATTTTTCAGATGTTTTAATGGGATTAAAGTTGCAACATTAAATTAGAGGGGAGAACAAAGGCAAGTACACTGTGTTAATGCATCAAGTTAGGTATATTGTCATCACACACTTCATTATTTTCTTACTGCAGATGATATTGAAAAAGAAATGAGGCGGATATTTAGTATCACGGATGACAAAGAGGTCCGCCTGTGGAACAAGTACATGTCCAACACTTACGAACACCTGAACAAACCTGACAACACAGTACAAGATGCTGGCCTTTACTCGGGACAGGTGAGTAGAACTAGGAGTGACTGTATATTTTACTCAGGACAGGTGAGTTGAACTAGAACTGACAATTAGTGTGAGGTGTGTGTAATGCAGGGCACTGTCAAAGTTTGGGGTTTGTATCATGCTCACTGTAAATGTGTGGAATATGTGGAAAATTTTCCCCAAATTATTCCTACTGTTTAATTTGCAAATATGTTTTCCCTTGAATATTGTACTTACCCTTTGTGTAAGTATTCTTACCTGTTGTCTCAAGGTGAATATTTCATTATATGTGCAGGTGATAGTAGTGGAGCAGCAGAATGAGGATGGTACCTGGCCCAGGCAGACCAAGAGTACGTCAGCCTACAATTCTGGCTCTGCTAGTACAGCTACCACAAGTACTCAGATTGAATCTGGTCCTTCATCTACAGCCACTTCTTCTACCAGCAGGTAAAACTAAGTTATGCTGAATGCTCTCTCGGTGTTCATAATGATAATTTGACTGTTAATTTCAAAGAGCAGGCCTGCCAGTATTTTTTTAGTATTTGTTTACCTTAAGAAATTTAGCATTTTAGGAATTGGAGAAATCTTAATATGTACTTATGGTTTTTGTCTATTTGACATGTTTATGCTATTGGATGCATTCTCTTCCATATTTGTAAATTGTTTCAAGCAATTGTCTTATCTGATTATTGTGTAACATAACAAATTCAGGCTATTAAATACATCCTCTCCAATTCCCAGGTCTATCTACAACAGCAGTGGTAGCAGTAATTCTTACTCAAACCACGGCTATGGCTCCTACTACTCTAACAGAGGCAGTGCTTCCCCAGGTCTTTGTGGACTTAGCAACCTGGGCAACACTTGTTTTATGAACTCTGCTTTGCAGGTAAGGGCATACATGTTCAGCATGATGTAAAACCATCATGTTTTTAGGGTGCAGTCATAAGTAAATGATTTAGAGGATCATTTTGCTGTTGGTTTCTGTGAACTGGACAAAGTTTTGTTTTAGATTAAACTTGGATTTAGTCTAGTTAAAGTCAGATTTGAAACCAGCATAGAATACATAATATTTGCCATACTTTACAAATTTAGCTGCAAACTTCTGCCTTTTAGACAGTCTGTAACCTGCTTTAAGTCCAAGAAATCTGGTTATTCTAAAAAAGCTGGATTAAATCTGACATGAAATAGAACTTATATTTATACTCATGATTATGTTTTCCTCCCTGTTTCAGTGCATGCACAATGTCCCACCATTGGTGGAGTACTTCCTAGCAGATCGCTGGAAAGATGAGCTCAATCTAGATAACCCACTGGGTATGAAGGGAGAGATAGCCAAGACCTTTGCCTCCCTCATACATGATGTATGGTCAGGAAAGTATAGCTATGTGATACCAAGAGATTTCAAGGTGAGAGTTTTTTACCCCTGCTTGTGCCATGTTTGTTCAAATGCAGGCATGGTTTTTTTCTGTGAAATTCTGTGATTTTTTAAGTCAGTTTTTCAGGTGGCCTCAGACTCCTGGCCAATAGGTGTTGGTGCAGTAATAAATATTCTTTTTTTTTTTTTTTTTTCTTTTTTTTTTTTTTTTTTTCAAAAACCCAAGCTCATGTTGGCAAATTATCTTGAAATTAGTCCCC